TATATATATATATATATATGCTAGAAACAGGTCAGAGGTCAAAGAAAAAGGGGTTAATTCAGGTTGGGTGGTGTAATAGTTTAGTGAAGTTCATAAATTACGTGATAATTAGAGATTAGTAGAATTGAATAATGATGAGGTAGATTACGTAATAATGATTAAATAGGATTTGGAAAGTTAAGATAATTTAAGAGGATCAGGTGGTGAAAGCAGGTTTTCTTTTCAACTGTATCATACCTAATCGGAGGGTTTATATTAGCATATTTGTGGATGAATTTTTCCGGATATGCATTTTCACGAAGACATTTGGTGATTGTGGCAATTTCTTCTTTGAGGCATTCTTTTGAGCAGATTTCGCGTGCGCGGTCAAAAAGGTTTCGCACAATACCCTTTTTATAACTCATTGGACAGAAGCTTTTAAAGTTGAGATAAACTCCGCTCCAAGTATTTTTGCGGTGAATGTGTCTTTGTAGTGTGCCATCTAATGTTCGCCTAATTCCAATATCTAGGAAATGGAATTTATCATCAACTTCATGTTCCATGGTAAATTCCATATCTTTGTGTACTTTACTGAACAGACTGAGTAAGTACATGGAGTGTTGGTGATTTTTGCAGACAAGGAACGTGTCATCCCTATATCTGCAGTAGAATGTGGTACTGTCGATCCCCTGCTTAAGTTTCTCTTGTTCCAGAAGTCCCATAAATATGTCGGCAAGAATTGGGCCCAGAGGGCTGCCCATTGCTATCCCATCAATCTGTCGGTACAGAACATTGTTAAATCTAAATTGTATGTTTTTTGTACACAAAAACAGGAGCTGTTTAAATTCCTGGGGTGGTAAAGGCAGAAGTTCTGGATATTCACATATGATCTCTGCCGTTTCTTCCAAGGGGATATTTGTGAAAAGCGAAGAGACATCGAATGAAACCATGAATTTGTCAGAGACATTAAAATGATCAAGTTTTTGTACAAATTCAAAGCTGTCATTCAAACTGTAGGTTGCTAGTTTTTTGCGGACTGGTTCCAAGCATCTAGTTAGCCAGCGAGCAAGTTTATGAAAGGGTGATTTGGCCATCGATAATATTGGTCTTATAGGGATGTCGGGTTTATGTGTTTTGGGTAGCCCATATAAGTATGGAAATTGTGACCCTTTTGGTTTGAGTTCGTTATACGTATGATTGTCTATTAGATTTTTCTTAACGAGTTCTTTCAACTTTCTTAAGACACGTTTCTCTGTCGCATCAGTTAAGTCTTTCTGGTAAACACTTTTGTTTCCGTTTTTTGTGTTTTGGTTATTTGGTTATTTTATTCATTTACTTATTTTAAGATATTTTATACTCCCCTATTACCTAATTCTTAAACTAAAACTTTATTCACACATTTCCACCACCTGATCCTCTTAAATTATCTTAACTTTCCAAATCCTATTTAATCATTATTACGTAATCTACCTCATCATTATTCAATTCTACTAATCTCTAATTATCACGTAATTTATGAACTTCACTAAACTATTACACCACCCAACCTGAATTAACCCCTTTTTCTTTGACCTCTGACCTGTTTCTAGCATATATATATATATATATATATATATATATATATATAGTTATTTTTGTAATCCAGTTATTTACACTCATTTATGTCAATCGTTTCACACTATCTCCATGTAAAAAATTCTATCGCAATTTTGGTTTGTAAGCAGCTGACGAGAAACCTCGAAATAATATGAATTCATACTATTCTGCATCAATGTTTGTTCTTGCTCTATTTAAACAGGAAGAAGCTCACGCGTTTTGAAGTCAAAGCATAAACTGTTTATACATGAACGTCGTGAGTCTACGAAACAAAATCGATGAGTTACGTGAACTTAGCAACTCTAACAAGGCCAATCTGAAAGGAATATCTGAAACTTGGATATCATCTCAGTTCTCGGACCAGGAGTTAGCAATACCTGGAATGTCTTGTTTTCGCCACGACAGAAAATCAAGAATTGGGGGTGGAGTAGCCGTATACATACGATCTTGCTTGGAGGTGCTCCAATTCATAACCTCGAGCTTAACAATCTTGAAGAATCTGTATTGTGTTCCGTAAGATTGTCTACTACTTCGAGGTGCCTAGTCGGAGTCATATGTAGGAAGCCCACAGCCGACATCGAGTATGACAGTCATATGCTGGATGGACTATCCCGCTCTTCGCGTCTCAGTGTCACTCATATCCTGATTCTAGGGGACTTCAATCTCACTTGAGTCAACTTCCTGGAACATAAGTATAATGGAGGTGAAAACTGAACTGAAGCTCGGTTCTTCAACCTCATCGATGACTTGGGATTATACGAAAATGTGGGGTCGGTAACGCGTTGGAGAAACAGTCAGACACCGTCGCGCTTAGACTGTGTATTCACAAATGAAGAATTCTTAGTTGATTACCTCTCAATCCTGGCTTCCCTGGGAAAAAGCGATCACGCGATCAAGTCTTCAGTTTTGTCAGCAAAACTGAGCTAAGATATCCCACCAACAACTTGCTCTGGAATTTCAAGCGATTGAAGGTATCAGCTCTACAGGACTATCTACAACAAGTAGATTGAGATGTTTGCCTCCAGCTCAATGTGGACGGTCATTGGGACTTCCTACTGCACACGCTCTTACGTACTACAAACCATTCAGTTCCTCAAACGGTTCCCAAAAGCTGCGAGCCACCTGCAATCATCAAGAACCGTACCCTTCGCCTGCTAAGCCGTAAAAGGCACTTTCGGGTGGAATACAAACGAAATGACAACGGTGGAGCGTACAGGTAATATAAACATATAAGGAACATATGCACGAAGGCTATAAGAGAAGATAGGGTCCAGTACCAGATGAAGCTGATGGAAAATTTTGCCTCTAATTCTAAAAGATTATTCCGTTATGCAGCCTCGCTTCGTGAAGCCAAAACTGGAGTTTCCCAATTGGTAGGTCTTAACGGCCCGACCAACAATGATGGCGACGCCGCTAACCTTCTGGCTGAACATTACTCCCAGACATTTCAACCGAACGACATTAACTTTACTGATGACAGTTTCATCTTCAATCCCACAGGACTTTCCGAAGTGAACCTGAGCGCTGACTTGGTGTCCCGGAAACTGCAGCACTTAAGATTAGACACTTCCCTTGGCCCGGACATGGTCCATTCTGCCATACTGGGAGAGGCAGCCTCAATCCTGGCAACACCGCTTAGCGAGATGTTCTCACATTCGCTAAGTCGAGGCAACCTACGGGAAAATTGGAGGCTGGCTCACATCACACCAATTTTCAAAGGAGGTCGACGAGGCGTAACTTCAAGTTGCCAACCACTGGCTCTTCTCTCAATACCTTCAAAAATCATGGAGTTCCTGATGTGTGATGGTATGCATGACTATTACTGTTCTTACATTTCTTTTCACCACAACAGCATGGTTTCAGGAAGGGTTACTCTTGTATAATAAACCTGCTGCCTGCGGTGGACAGATGGACAAGCATCCCTGATCACAAGGGGAAGGTTGATATCATCTACCTAGATTTCTCAAAAGCTTTTGATAAGGTTAACCATACATGTCTTATCAATAAGCTCAAACGATTGGGTATCAGACCACCTCTAATCGATTGGCTCACTTCATATCTGAAAAATCTACATTTTAAGGTCAGGGTTAATTTCACTTTACCTCAGGCTATGGAATGTCCAAGTGGGGTCCCTCAGGGCTCAGTACTAGGACCTCTTCTCTTCTTGATCTACATAAATGATCATCCATAACAGGTAACGTCAGACTTATTACTTTTTGCTGGTGGCGTGAAACTATGGAGAGAGATACGAAGCCAGGACAATATACAGGCACTTCAGGAGGATCTGACTCGATTTCAAAGTTGGGCAGATGATAACGGATTTACCATTAACATATTAAAGTGTAAAGTGGTCCATCTGCGACATGTTGCAGACTACAGTTACAACTTAGGAGACTCCTCTCTAGTAGTATCCCGAGTAGAAAATGATTTAGGAGTCCTAATGTCCTACGATTTTGAGTCTTACGCTAACTGTGACAAAAATGCCTTACGAGCAAACCTTGAACTGGTAACATTGAAGCGCATTTTTGGCCAGTCTGACGGAAGAATTTTCCACATAATCTTCACTAGTTTTATCCGTCCCCATTTAGAGTACGGAAACATAGTATTTCCTCCCTCACTCCAAAAGAATGAAGACACTCTGGAGCGTATCCAACGGCGAGCCACGAAATCAGTTCGAGGACTGAAATTTAAACCTTATGATGAGCACTTTCAATCACTTAACCTTAGAAGTGACCTTCTGATGGCTTACAGTACCATGAACACTTCTGGACATCCCCTTAAACACCTACTTAAGCTTAGTCCCAACATGAACCTAAGGAGTAACACCCAGAAATCGGAGACACAACATAGCAGAACGGACGGTAGACAAAACTTCTACTCCTTAATAGTTGTCAAATGCTGGAATTCGCTGCCGGCCGAGCTAGCCCAAGCGACTTCCCAGTAGTCCTTTTAGAGGCAACTTGATCTATTATGAAGGACCAAGGATATTATCGGTCTTCAGTCGTCAGTCTTCAGTAATAAGGATAGGAGGTCTGTCGACCTATATTAATCCTTGCAGTTTGTAATACTGTGGTCATACTATGATTTACCAATTTCTTTTCCTCTTTTATTGTTAACATACCTAGGTTCCTGCCTGGAGGTTTTGGTGATCCACTGATACTAGACACGGAAGCTCGTTAAGCGAAAGCTTCTTCTATTCCGTCCACAACCATTTGAACTGGAATTCTCTACAGGAACACGTAATATCAGCACCTTCTGTTAATATATTCAAAACGAGATTGAGCCTCAACATTATTAAAAACTGCAAGGGTTAATATAGGTCGATAGACCTCCTGTCCTTATTTCTGAAGACTGAAAATTTGTTTATTGATAACGGATGTAGAAACACTGAACGGCCTTTTAGTGCGGAATTTTGGGATGTTAGGATGAACGTTGGTGCAGATTTCCCTTCCGCTGAGTCTGTGGATTTCTCTTGTAAGTTTAAGCTTAATTTTAATGCCTCAAGATATCGTATTCCGGATATTTTTATGGGCCGCAACTTCCAACATATTCATCCACGTAGTTGCTTCTCTTGTAGCATTTTACAATTTGAAGGCACATAAATCCTCTAGGATATGTGCTCCTATCTTCATACTTGTCATGGGGGTTTTAAACACGATATCATTCATGTTAATTACAAGTAAATTTCATAAATGCTGACTTTCACAACAGGTATTGTGGTTGCGGGTGTGTATAAGGCTACGGGGATCACATTCAACGAGATACATGCTGTGGCGTCCGGAGTTGCTCAGACACTTTTATTGTTTCTTTTCTCTGCTACGCGCATTCCATCCACGCTATAGTTGCGAATACTGAAGTTTTGAACTCGTGTTTCGTTTTATACGGACGAATCCGCTAACCACTCTTACTCTTATACTCTGGTCTAAATAAATTATTTTCCACATTTTTTGAATTTTCGTAATTGTATAACGCTCAGAGTTTGACGCTAGTGCAGTGCGGTATTATAGGCGTTATAATTATTATATGCAGCTGAAACTAATAATCCTATATCATAAACTGCTACCCACCTACTTAAGCCTATTTCCCTTGATCACGTAGTTGAAGTCCGCGTGATTTTCGTAACCAATGCTTAAAACTTGGAATGACGTTGCTCTAGATCGTTTTCAACAGAAAAAAATGTATCTGTCCATTGTTTTCTGCAAGATTTTAGACAACTGAATTCCCCACACATTTTCATGCGTTTTTTTCACTAATTTGTGTTTTCATGCATCGTATCTTCGATGTGTAATTTTTTCAAACAGCATTCATACTGTTACTGACTCTGTCACTCTGGGATTCGCCCTAACACTGCCAATAGAGTATGGTAATTCGAATCGATGTACACAAGTACCAGGTTCCACGTTTCAACCGACCGACCAGTGGTTTCTAATTAACTCTTCTCAGTTCTTTATTTCAGTTGTTGCTAACTGCTACTCATCATTTTGACGTCTATACCCGATTCCCATGACCTTGTTTTCTTTTTATTGTCATATCGTTTTCCTTTGAAGACTCAGTCAGTACTTGCTCTGTAATGCAGTCTAATGGTCTAGGTAGAGTGTGTACTATCCACCTTCAGCGCCTCTTAATTTTCTCATCTGGAAACTAGTTTGTTCTCTGCTGCAGTAGATTATTGCTGATGGTGTCCGATCCATGGACCTGGAGTATCTTGCATGGAGAGCTGTTCACAAACACCTGTTTTTCTGGTGAGAGTTGTCCAAAACCCGAGAAAGATAGACTCGCGAGGAGCAGGCGGGCTTTCGTTCTGGTCGAGGATGGACTGATCACATCTTCACTCTCCGCCAAATATTAGAACACCGTCATACTTATCACAAGCCAACAGTCATAATGTTTCTCGACATTAGGACTTCCTTCGATTCGTTGGACAGGACTGTTCTCTGGGATTGTCTATTGAAGAAGAGTGTACCTGAGAAGTTTATTAACATCCTAAAAGCCCTATATACAAACACCTCAGGCAGGGTGAGGGCATACAACCATCTCTTTCCATTGTTTCATTTAGCAAGTGGGGTTAGACAGGGTTGCCCAACCTCACAATTCCTTTCCAACTTTGCTACCGATGATGTTCTAAAAACAGCTCTGATGGATGTAAGTAATTGAGAGCCAGGGTGGTTTATGCTAACCTGGTCCATCTTCGGCACCTTCGTGATGTTACTTTGGTTGTAAAAGGTCGGATCTACAACGCGTCTGCGGGATAAGTCTTGCTCTGTGCTTGCGGAACCTGGCCTCTCCGAGTTCAGGATATCATTCACAACTCCCTGGTTGGGGCCCTAGAAATGGTGCAACACAGTGGCTAGAGACGTTATCAGACATGGCTCAGAATATGAGCCAGTGACGATCCTACTGTAACTTTGTTTTACTTCATAAAAAAATGAACGTAACTTTAACAGGAAGGATTATCTTTGGCTGTACTTTTGCTAGTTGAACTGCCCCTTCCATTATTATTATTTCACCCTCGTACACTAATTTATGTTCGTTGTTGTTCTACTTTGTATTCTCTATCTCTTCATGTTCTCTTTGTTGTTGTGTGGTGCTTATTTATTTGGTACCCCTTTGTACCAATATATATGTGTTCAAATAAATGAGTCCTCCAAGTCTCAGCTTCCCAAAAATGAATTTTTACGTCGGTATTAAAAATTCTGACTTTGATATTGGTTGACAGATAATTGTTTTAAGTTCCATATGTTCGTCAAATGTGGGAACGCTGCCGTTGCTTTAAAAATCCTTACCTTTGCGTCTGCATCAGATCCTCCTCGTTCGTCGACGATGATGCTGTCTAGGTAAGTGAGATTCCACCTCTTCCAGAGTTTCCCAATCGAATGTGATTGTTTGGTGTTCTCTGTGTTGTATTTGAGGATGTTGCTTTTCCCTTGTGTATGTTGCGTCCTACTGATGCAACGACTGCTGTTACACTGGTTGTCTCCATCTGCATTTGTTGATGTGTGTGGGATAGGAGAGCTAGGGGATCTGAGAAGTCCAAATCTTCTAATTGATTCTGAGCCATCCATTGTACTCCGTGCTTCCCGTCAGATGTGGAGGTTCTCATGATCCAGTCGATCATCAGAAGAAAGAAGAAGGGGGAGAGTAAGCAGCCTTGTCTGAATCCGGTCCTCACTTGGAATGCGTCTGTCAGCTGTCCTCCACACGCGAATTTGCAGTATAGTCCGTCGTATGAGTTCCGGGTAACATTGACATTCTTCCCAGGAACTCTAGTGTCGAAGAAGTTTCCATAATGTTCTCCTGTCCACACAGTCAAGCACCTTCTCATAATCAATGAAGTTGATGTATATTGACGAGTTCTATTCAACTGATTGTTGAACGATGATCCGTAGTGTAGTGGTTTAGTTTGCATACAACCCATTCTTCAGAATCCGGTCAGTTGATCTCGAAGCTGAGCGTCTGTATTTCACTGTTAGCTTATTATTATTTATTTATTTATTTTAACATAGATATTGGTACAAGGAGGCACCAAATACATATGCGCCACACAAATCTCATTCGATATGTGTGAGGGCTGTGATACTGCCCGCGTGCCCAGACCGAAGCAGGTAGTTTTCTTAGGGGGCCACACCCCGAGCCTTCGACCTGAAGTCTGATCCACAAGGCAGTGGAGCATCGTAAGGAGATGCAGTCCCATGGAAGCCGGTGACCAACAATCAGTTCATACGCCATTTGTTCCTTCAGGATACTGGAGCCCATGTGCACCATTGGTTTGGGATCCGGTTAAAGCGCCGGACATTCGCTTTTCGTCCTCTCATTTTCGTAAACAACAGTGATGCCACGAGAAGGCAGTGATTAGGACTTCCCTGGCAGAGGCTATATACGCGTAGCCATGTGAGAGCTTTTTTCGAGGGAGAGCTGACTCCCCACTCTCGGCCGTACCAGGGCATTTGGGGGCTAGCTTCGTCGTATCATATAGTTGTCGATTTTTTCTTTCTGTTTCAGTTTTTTCTGTAATCATTGCTAGATTTTTCACACATTTTCGTCTACCAGTTCTAATGCTCTTCACTCGTTTGTGTGCTTCTGCATGTCAAGCCTTGAATTTATCTGCTCGTGTTCGACTGTTGTCGATCTCCGTCTTATTTTCCCCTTGTTGCGTCTTGCCCAAGGCGTCTATCAAGTTTTATTGTTTATTTTGGTGCTTTTTGCTACCCAACATCTTGCAGCGTGTTTTGGTTATTTCTTCAACCCTTTCCAGTTCTTCATAGTAGTTTCTTTTAGTAGATCTTGTGTGGTTTGGAACCTGCTGCTTAGTGCTATCTCGAATTCACTGAGTCTGCTAGCATTCCGAAGGAAGGTTGTATTAAACTCTTGTAATGGCGTTTGTCCAGTACTTCTTTAGTCTCAATCTCAGCTTGAGGACCATCTGATAGTGGCGGTATCATAACTTTTCCACTAGCTCTTTAAATCCCATAACAGAGTTTAGGTGAATTAGTTGGTCTACTCTGGTTGGCATTATTATAACAGTTTTTTATATGAGTTAGGATTTCCAACCCTCATTTACTCAAGCTTGTGGTTGGCAGTAACCCTAAAAGACTCTATGCTGAGTTTGTTACCTACTAGTCTGAATAAAATTTTGCGAATACAAAGAACGTTTTAATCTTAATTACTAATTTACCACATTAGTCCGCGTGAGAAAATTCATTTATTAGTTGAAAGAGATAAGTCGGCAACAAGTTGTTTCTACAATTATTTGTTTTACTGTCTTATTACCTTAACTCTGTGAACCCATGCAACAGTTTCTGTAGGGTCTGACTATTTGAGCATTTTATTTGTAGTCTTATTTACATGAAACCGTTTCATAACTTTGTGACTCGTTTATGAAGCACATAACTAGTTTCACCATTGCTTGCTCGAACCAAGTCTGGATAAAACGGGGTTTGAAACTGCTTCTGGTGTGGTTGAAAGCTAATATCTTTAACCACTAAGCTACACTCCTCTGTTGTTGATAAAGTGAAAAGTTATTGGAAGTCATTTATAATTCTCCAGTTGAGATTTAGATGGTGGTTGGAGGTAGTCAACAGGAAACCCTGGACCCGGGTTTCGTGCTACTTGGCACTCGTCAGCAAGGTATACCTGTAATCTTGAGGGAACTGGTGCTCCCTGGCGGATTCGATCTCGTGTCACCCAGCTTCACAGTCAGAGACGTTACCACTGAGCTATCCGAGCCGTGACTAACCTCCTGTAGGACTGAGATGTAATCACAATTGATTGATCACTGGGTGGTGATCAATCTATTGTGATTACATCTCAGTCCTACAGGAGGTTAGTCACGGCTCGGATAGCTCAGTGGTAACGTCTCTGACTGTGAAGCTGGGTGACACGAGATCGAATCCGCCAGGGAGCACCAGTTCCCTCGAGATTACAGGTACACCTTGCTGACGAGTGCCAAGTAGCACGAAACCCGGGTCCAGGGTTTCCTGTTGACTACCTCCAACCACCATCTAAATCTCAATACATAGTGCCCGCAGTGTCCAGTCACCTAGACTGGTGGCCACATTGCAACATGATCGATAGCATTCGATCTGCACTAATAAGGACTAGACAAGCATGAGATTGATCACCACCCAGTGATCAATCAATTGTGATAATTCTCCAGTCTTAAAATCGCTGCTGGTCTTCTAGTCTACATAAGTATCATTCCATTTAATGTTTGTACTGGAAACGATGTATCATATCTATGTTCATGTTGTTTGATATTCCACTGAGTCAGCCGAAAATCCTGAAAAACAGGAAAGTATTGTGATTACTCTAATAATTTAACGAGCTCCTTTGTTACACTTCAATTTATCTAGGTATTTTTAATGTATTATTTTACCCTAACCCGGTATTTTAGTTCAGTGGTTAATGATAATAGCTCTTCTTGTGTCACAATTTTTGCTATACTGAAGTACACACTACTAAATCTCAGCGTAACACTTCTCAACAACTATTTGAAAACGACGATACTCAAGTACAACCGTTAATTATCTTTAGTCTTACATCCATTAAGTAGCATTTGCGTCGAATACCTGATTTCTTATGATTTGACCAGCGTCAAAACATCCAAGATCTTTCAGATGAAAATAAACCTATTTGAACTTCTGTATGGAAATCTAATTCATCTTTCACTGCTTAACAAACATTCCACTCTTCTAAATAGTTCGATATCAAACATGAATGTAGAGAAATGCTCCTGTTAGCCTTGTAGACGTCCTTTTTCCTTTATTGACACTACGCGCTGATGCCCAGCTAAGTAATACTACTTATATTGGTTATATACCATTTCATAGGAAAAAAAGTATACTTAGATCCATATTTTAGATCTACGTGAAAGATTTACGCCATTATCATGCCTTTCAGGACTTTTCCTAAGATGTTATCAATGGCACAACGGTAGTGAGAGCAACCACTTATTCTTATACTGGTTGTTCGAAGTAGTAATGAACTATATATATGCATTCATTTTACGTGCGACGCTATTGTGGAAAGTTTTCAGTATTTAAAAAGCTCTTTGGTGTACATTTTTGTAACATTTAAACCATATTCCTATTCAACTAATAAAACATATCTTTGATGCCAACCGATATGATTATTGCCTTTCAGCCAGTTAGTGTAAATAAATATATGACTTGATAAAAATCTGCTTCAGCCAAATTTGGCATCAGCTCAATGAAGTGAAATTAGCAAGATCAATAATAAGTTTCGAAATAATAGTAGTTACAATTGTAATGAGAAAGATTAAAAATTGAAAACTATGGTTTCGGGCAACTTAAGAAATAAAATTTAAGACATGTCATTGAATCTCAGGGTTTAAGTCTGAATACATCTACGCCATTTCAACTGATTTTGAGCCATCTCCAAACACTGATCGCGGTTGTCACACAGAAACCAACCAAAGAGACGATGTTCATTCATACGGCTTAGACCAACAGTAAACGACTTAGTGAACTAATTCCATTTATTCTCTTAGCCTACCTTAATTTTGTTTCAACCTATTCAAAGAGAATTTCTGTTCAGTCTACTCGCCGCTTCGTTGGCGGATAGATGTCTCATCCAAACCACAAATGATGAAAGTTGGCAGGAACAAAGTGTGATTCTTGATATATGCCGGGTATTCTTTGGCGGTAAGGTTACATAAAAATGGGATAATCAGCTTTTAAGTATGTTTCGATAAATGTAGAAACAGTTGGTTTATTCACAATCTTAAAGAAGCCTAAACTGCTCTCCTCCAATCAGTTTGTAAACTTCGTATTCTTACTCTCCGAATTCTACAAGTACTTACCATTAATGGTAAGAAATTGAATTCTTTTGTAAGTAATCAAAATTATCATGGAAAGGCATTTATCTGATGAATCGCTTATGTAAATGATTAAGTCAGAAAGAAAATTTCATTTTATCAATGTCTTCATATTCAAGTAAATGAGAGTATCCACAGAGAAAACCGATTTCTAAACGTTAAATTATTTAAAAAATAACCTACGAGGAAATGTATATATATATAATGTGAACTATATTTTGTTTCTCTTAGTGTACCACTATCATTGGTATTAAATAATCTCTATTGCTATTCTTTTACTCAACCTTTATTTGGGTCATTTCTTTGCTATAGTGTGTATAAATTGATCGATCCAAATCAGTACCACATGGTCTTACTTTATCTATAACTCATATTGATATAGTAAACCTGTTTATCTTCTATTTACTTGTCATTGATGTACTGAATAGTTTAATTTGATTTAAATTGACATTTCGTCGTTGTTTAATGTTTATTTATTCATTCTTTCTCCGATGATTCTTTATATATTTTAGATATTGGTAGATTCCGATTTATTTAAATTATGAAACTTTTAAACACAGAATACGAGAGTAATTATATCAATAATTCAGACAAATCACCAATGATACCTTTTATGAATTATCAGCGTTTGTTTGTTGGTCTACTACCTTCGTCGTATTTAAGATCTAGCTATCATCGAATGGTATGTTAAATAGTTTAATTACATTTCTCAATATATATATATATATATATATATATATTGTATTGATCTATTTTTTGCTGTTTCATAGTAGATTAGACGAGAATCGCAACAAACTCGAAAGTAATATTCAGTACTTATATACTATACTTACTCCTGTTATCCCTCGTAAAAGAGCATAGGCGACCCACCAGCATTCTCTATCGAACTCTGTATACACTCTCTGTCTTCCCTTAAACTAAGAGATTAAAATCGCTTCGTATCTTTCTTTCTAAGAACTAATTCTTTCTTCCTGTACTATGTTCTTATATGCAATCTTTCTTTTATATATTACCACCTCTGAATTAACTACTTTTATGAATCCGGTGTTGATCTTGTTGTGTAATGAGGTATGTTAACTTGGACCGATGCATATATGTGCCTGGTCCTACGTTGTAGCTGACTGACTGACTGAGTTGCCATTCATCCTTTTCATGTCTGATTCTAATTCCCGACATAGTGTGTTCTCTGGTCTTCCTCTTTCTCGTTTCCCTTCAGGATTCCAAGTTAGTGCTTACTTCTTAATGTAGTTTAATGATTTTCTCAAAGTAGGACCTATCCACTTCCAACATCTTTTCTTAATTTTCTATTTAGTTGGAAGATATTTTGTTCTCTTCCACAGTAGACTGTTGCTGATGGTATCCGGTCAATAACGGACATTGAGTATTTTGTATAGACAACTGTTTATAAATACTTATACCCTTTTGATGATGGTTTTGGTAGTTCTCCACGTTTCAGCTCCGTATAATAGAACTAACTGTCTTGACGTTCGTATTAAAGATTGTGACTTTGTAATTGGTTGACAGATAATTGTTTTAAGTTCCATATGTTCGTCAAATGTGGGAACGCTGCCGTTGCTTTAAAAATCCTTACCTTTGCGTCTGCATCAGATCCTCCTCGTTCGTCGACGATGATGCTGTCTAGGTAAGTGAGATTCCACCTCTTCCAGAGTTTTCCAATCGAATGTGATTGTTTGGTGTTCTGTGTTGTATTTGAGGATGTTGCTTTTCCCTTGTGTATGTTGCGTCCTACTGATGCAGAGACTGCTGTTACACTGGTTGTCTCCATCTGCATTTGTTGATGTGTGTGGGATAGGAAAGCTAGGTGATCTGAGAAGTCCAAATCATCTAGTTGCATCAGGGCTATCTATTGTATTCGACTATACAGAATATTAAATTACTATCTTATTTCGTTTAATGGTTTAGCATTACCATGTTGATCAAAAAGTTTTCACGTTTATCGATTTTCGGGTTTACCATTCTGAAACATATTGTCAGTGTCCATACTGATCGATTTCTATTTCATTAGTTGCTATGTGGTTGTCACTCTAAACAGCTCGACATGATTTCAAGTAGTTAGAGGTAGTTTTCCATGCCCATTAATCAATAAATATCTGAAGTTTCCTTAAATAATCAAGATTTTATTATACGAGATTCCAGAATACAGCGATTTGTTCTTTATCGCAAGTTAGTTCCTCCTTGTGGCGAATGGAATAAAGCAACCGCTTGCCTTTATATACTTGTTAGTTATTAACTTTAAAAAGTTGTTTTGCATCAGTCCTACATATTTAATTAGCGATGATCCCATTCTGTATTATACAAATCTCTCAATCGTTTGCAATTCCATATAGTGAAGTAATTCTCAACCCATAACCAATATAATATTGCTAAACCTCATTTAACAATTACCTATTGCAGTGTGTTTGATTTGGGTGTATTCAACCAAACATGTGTGATGATCTATTCTAGGTCACTTATTTTTCAACCGTACAAATATAAAAGTACATCTTGTTTTAGATTTGCTTTAAGTAACTAGTTTTGCTTGTTAATCGCTTGTTATGATCAAATGTTTCTATAAAGAAGCGTACAGTCTATTCAAAAAGCTAACTACTGAGAAATTCAAAATAAAAACCGCCACCATAGTCGGTATATTTCCGTTGTATGTTGGATAAGCAAAAGATAAAGGGATTTGTGCATTCAGACACATTACGCGATAAAAGGGATTACCATTAAAGCCAACCTGGTGAAAAACATCTATAGGTGAAGATTAGTACTAAATCTCCTCACATCTCAACATCCAGTTAAATTAACCAAAGTGACTAACATATTTTTCACTCTTTTTGCATTGTTTGTTTCTTCATTTTTACAAATGTATTCAGTATGATTTTCTCTCTTCTCTTCTTTTTCTTTCGACTTTTAGCTAAGAAGAGTTATCTATTTGTGCATCGGTATCACACTTCTATTATTTTTATGGTTAGCATTTTACATATCTGATTCAACATGGTTTAGTAGGCTACTTCAATGTAATTATGACAATAAATTTACAGGTCGTGTATCTATATCCCCGGACCCTTGGAGTAAAACACGTTTTACACATATAAGTGATAACGGTAATATTAATTATCATCATAGTAATAATAAAATTAAACAACAAATAGCAGGAGTAGCAACGACAAAAACCAACTATGTATATGGTGTTGTGTTCGACGCTGGAAGCACTGGAAGCCGTGTTCACATATTCAAACTAGTTCATAATCCCTTAGGTATGTAAAAATATTTTATATATACATATATATCCTACTGTCGAAAACACATTCATCCTAAAATATTCTGTTACTTAGATTAATCTTTTGTTCGTCTTTCCAGCTTAGTTGTTGGATGTTTTGTTGTCATGCTAGACATCATAGACAAGAATATTGTTTTCACATACAATTTTTATATATTAAAATAATAATGATCCTTATTGAGTGTCTATTTCATTTATTTAAATACATAAACATTGATACAAGGGGGCAACAAATAGATATGCGCCACATAAATGATTCGGTTTGTGTGAGGGCTCGGATACTGCCTGAGTGCCCAAACCAAAGCAGGTAGTTTTCTTAGGGGGCCACACCCCGAGCCTTTGACATAAAGGTCTGATTCACAAGGCAGTGGAGCAACGTAAGGAGATGCAAACACATGGTGGCCGGTGACCAACAATAGGTTTCTACGCCATTTGTTCCTTCAGGATACTGGAGCCCATGTTCACCATTGGTTTAGAATTAGAGTTTTTCAACTCCCCTAGGTGGACTCTCTGTGTGTCCGCCAACCCGGTTACAGTGCCGGAGTTTCGCTTATCGTTCTCTCAATTTCGTAAACAACAGTGATGCCACGAGAAGGCAGTGAGTAGGACTTCCCTGGCAGTAGTTGTATGCACGTGACCATGTGAGAGCTTTTTTCGAGGGAGAGCTGACTCTCCCCACTCTTGGCCGTACCAGGGCATTTTATACTATTTGAACTAGTAATTATATCAAATTGGATTTCGAGGCGTTTGTTGATTTATGGCTTAAGTGTTTGATTTATTTCCAACATATATTGCGTGAAAAAAAGGATCTTTATATGATATTCCGTATTCACCAAATTACAAATTGGGAAAAACAGTAGGATGTAATAGGTTTTCAGAGTAAAATGTTATTTTAGTTAATAGTATGACTAATTCAGGTAGATAACTATAGAGCTGATTTCTTTCCAACTTGGTGTAACATGTATGTCAATGATAAATTCAAAGAACGGTAGTGTGTACTTTTTTTTGGACCGTCAGTGACTTCAGTGTCATGTCAATGCGACTCAACAATCACCCTGCAGTATTCGTAATCAACTCTTATCAGATATAATTCTATCCAGATCAAAGTTACTTCGGATTTGTGAATCACTGTATGAAAATTAATTGCTAAAATCACTAAGTCTTGTCTCTCTGTAGGGTTGACAATTTTTTAAACCTTTGTTGTTAACGTCGATACGTTAATCTGTTTACTGCATAGTTGGAATGCACGAAATGATCAATGTTAAGTTGTTAGGAAAGCCCTCAGCCTTGTTTAACACCCAGTATCAGCAAGGTGCTCCCTCTGGGAGTTCAAGTCACACATCACTCATTTCCACGGTGGGAAATGCTACCACTGAGCTATTAGGATCTGTTTATAGATTTAAGATATTTAAAATGATCACTCACTAAATAGAAGCTAGTGTTACGTTTTTCTGGTTCTTAATGATGATTAAATTTTGCTATTCAGTGTCAATAAAAGGAACCCATAGATTGTTAGCATCTAGTGTAGTATGGTTGGTCCAATAATAAACTTGTACGATTTGTTCTTATTTATTTATTATTTATTAGACCACATAAACATTGGTACAAGTGGGCATCAAATACATATGCACCACACAGTAACAATGAGGCCAGTAGTAGTTATCGTTGATTTGTGTGAGGACTGGAATACTACTCGGGTGCTCGTTTGAAACATTCGAACCGAAAAATTACCATAAAATATTAATCATATAGTCTACTACTTGAATAAATGTAATGAAATGGTATAGATTGGCTAGTACGAATAGCCATTTGAACGTATATTAGGGTTGGATTTACACATAACATTAATGGTGAAGATTTCCAACCCAGGTAAACTGATTTGCTATTTAATAAATATTCAAAGTACTTAGTTCTATATGAGGTAGATGCTGATGATATTGTCTAGAATGACAATGGAAATTTCGTAATTAAATCACATCCAGCTCAGAGAAAATGACACTACTCATACAACATTAGTTCACTCCAATATCAGATTAGTTTAAATTGTTATTGTTACCTTCTTTTGTTCCTTTTGTTCCGTCTATCAATTAATGGACAAGTATACTGCGCGGCAGTTCGTTCTGTTTTACTTTAAGGCTGCAAAACGTGACCATTAAGAGTAGAAGATATTCGTAAGCTACTAGTATTTGACCTGTATTATTTATCTAACATTAATTACGCGGACAGAGTAGGATTGAACTTACAGTGATCTATCAAGAAAATAAACGATAATTATTAGTTTTTTTTCGGTTTAACATAGTTTTATTATCTGTGTTCAGAAGATTGACTAAAACTGTTTGTTTTTTTGCATCATATTGTTTTCACTTACTTATTAGATCCTTTCAAACCGTTTAAACTATTGGATGATAAATATCATCATGTTCAACCTGGTTTATCTTCATATGCGGAAAAACCAGAGGAGGCAGCATTAAGTTTAACGAAATTAATTAATATTGCTGAAACTAGTCTTCCTGTTGATGTGTGTCGTAATACTCCAGTTATTTTAAGAGCTACCGCTGGTCTTCGTCTAATTTCTGCGCATAAAGCAGAGAATATTTTAAAAGCTGTATGTTTTTGTTGTTTAATGTATTGTTTATTTTTATCTGAAGGGTTATTTTGTGAAGATTGTAGTAATTTAATAGTTGGGTTTATGAGTCAAATGAAGCTAGACCGTCATCAAAAACCTGGAAGCACTGGACGGTTCGAATCTCACGAGGTGGGATCGTGGATGTGCACTGCTAAGGAGGAGTCCCGTAATAGGACGAAATGGTCGTCCAGTGCTTCCAGGTTTTCCATGGTGGTCTAGCTTCAATTGACTCATGTTTTCAACTAATGAAATATATTGAAAATGCCAAATTTGACATCGAATCAATCTTAATTATTACATAGGACGCCATTTGTAATGTTGAGAGTAATTACATATAAAGGGCAAGAGATATTACATGTTAAAAGGTGGTAAGTTCGAATCAGTGGATTAAAATGGTTTGTAAAAACAAGTTCTAATACAAGATAAGAATTGAAGATAAAAGGATGACATGGAAGAGAGTGCAAACCACAGTGAAGCGGAGTAAGATTTTTGTATACTAATAAAATTGGAACTGAGAATGAGATAACAAGTTGAATGTATTTTTTCGCGATGCGTAGGTTAGGTTTGCTCGAGTTGATACCAAGTGCTTCAGCTATATAGGGTAAGTGTAATCTTGTGCTTTTTGGTAGATAATTAGGAACTGAGAAGGCATTTCCAAACTTAATGTAATGTCTATAGCCAATTAAGTGGGAAAGAATGGCACTATTGATAGACATCGTAACGCTCTCCATTGAACATGCTTCCAAGTGTTTACGAACGCTTAAAGATAAGGTCCTTTAAGTATGGCCAATGTAACTAGCCTAACAGGAACAGTCGAATTGTTAAACACGCACAGATGAAGCGATCTATAGCATCTTGTCGTCAAGTTGGCTATGTCAGTATTGACTTCGCTATGGAAGCTACGTGTAATTTGGCGACAATAGAAGTCCTTAGAATGGATCTACTTAGTCAACGTGTTAGAAGTATTTTATATTATTTCGTGGTACTTAAGATTCAATTGACGTGAAATTCATCATTTTCAATGTGAAAATGGATTAATTCAAAATTAATATTTCATCTATTCTAACATAATAATAATTTTTGCTTTATAACTGTAAAGTGTAGTGTAAAAAATAATTGTAATAATTGTTTACGTAAACCAATTTCAAAGTACATAATTAGGAAAAGTGTCCAACTACATATGGAGACTACATGTACAATGTAGAATAGATGGAATGTAGCTAGCAATGGAACCTAGGACTCGCGTTTCACCCCATTCGCGACTCGTCAGCTAGATGTACCCGCATCTTGGAGTTAATTTTCACTCCGGGATGGACAACAAAATAATCCAAGTCATTTCAGATTGAATTACATTCTGATATGTATTGTCTTTTATTTGTCTCTCTATCCATCCAGGTACGACATAGATTATCTCAAACTTGTTTTAAACAATTACCTAACGCTGTAACTATTATGGATGGATTTTATGAAGGTCTATATTTATGGTTGACATTAAACTTTCTCAATAATCGTTTATCAAATGGAAAAGCACAAAAGAATCATGCAGTGATTGAAAATTCACTTACACAAACAATTGGCACATTAGATCTAGGTGGAGGTTCTACACAAATCACATTTATTCCCACTGAGTTAAATACCCTCAACAATGCACCTGATAATTTTATTACATATTTTGACGTACAAAATAGTAATGATAAACCGAAACAAAAGGTATTATTGTACATTTTATTGTGTTGTTATTTGTTCATTTGTTCACATAAATTTGTGATTTGGTATCTAATTGTCTGAAATCTATTTCACTTACATTTTGGGTTTAGTTAAATGGATATAATTACTGTTACTTTTAGATTAACTACTATGAAACTTAGTACTTTGTCATGAACATCTAGTTAGCTAGTGAATTGTACGTTTAAGTTACATCTGTTGGTTATTATAAGTACCGATTCATATGATAAGAATCAGCACTTATCTATTTTATGCAGTGAAGTTGATTATCTGAATTGTATTCAAATTATAAATTCACTTGGTGTTGTTTTACTTGTATCTTCTCGCTGTTATTTAGGACTCCAATTGATCAGTCGCATGTTGGCATATGTGTATCCTGTACGGATTGCCTCGATATAGCCTTAAGTCACATGCTGGATGGATAGTGGTTAGCAGTGGAATCCTGGGATGCAGGTACATCCGACCGACGAGTCCCAAATAGGACAAAACACACGTCCTGGATTCCACTGCTAGCCACTTTTGAGGCTATGCTATAGAACAGATTTGCAAACAACCTTTAACTTTTTCACTGTAGTCATATCATGGGTACATTATAGTTTAAAAACCAGTCTTTTCATCTTATCTGTGCATGGTCAGTAAATTATGTTTTTTTAATATGTCTATAACTTATTTAAGTAACCAAATAATATATTTCATTTTAGATCAAATATAATAGATGTATACAGTAATCGGTCATTTCGTAGAAACCTAAATCATATTATTCAATCCCTGGTGTTAGTCGGTTTTTATCAATGTATACTAGACGAAATATCGATCGGCATAAAAACTGGATCCAGGACTTACTATTATTGATTTCCTCCAACTACTTGTCATCAAATAATTACACTACAATGTCAAATCACATAACCTAGTAGTTTTGTGATTAAATTGCGGTATTCTACAGGTTTGGATCAGGGCTAGAGATTAGATAGTATGATACTATGGTTACTGCCATTGCGATGGATTAGAGTGAGCCTCCCAACTCTCTATGGGGTTATTTTGACATGTATAGCCTGATGCTGACGGCTTAGTGCCAACTGTTATGAAACCAGTCTTATGGTCTCCTACAGATTGTCCTTAACTATTCAGTAATAGTGTGGGTAGTTATTCACGCTTTAATTTTTTTCTTCTTACAGATCTATTCACATAGTTACTTAGGCCTAGGACTAATGTCTGCACGTTATTCAATGTTATATAATGCAACTGAACATTTTAAGTTAATTACTGAAGGAAAGAAAGAGTTTTTTCATCCTTGCTGGCCTAATAATGTAACTGTAAGTTTAATTTTGTGTATGTTAAACTCTTTATTATTAAATTACTAGATTTTTGTTGAAAACTTTCAGGTATCAGTTTGTTATAACTTGTGACCGCCGACTAGAGGGCAGTGACTAATAGACAGGGCAGAATTCAAGAATGGTAAAACGTATAATAATGGTTCATTGGTCAAAATAAAGCTTATAATAAGAGGAACATGAATATGAATAGTTTAGTTATATAACAATTATACCATAAAAGCATACGTTTAGTATTGGTCCATAAAAGGATCCCAAAGTTACCATTCATTACGTTTCTCGGGACCTAACACAGTTATAATCAAGATCGAGGATCTGGAAATAGTATGAATCAGGTCAAGTTGTTATATTTTACATATTAACACAACAAAAAAGGTAAACATTAACAGGACCTTAAACAATAGATCAATAATAATAATATTAATAATAACCAAAGTATTAAGTTAAGAAATGGTGGAACATAGTTTATGAAGTACAAACATTCAATGTTTGGTTGGTGTGAATGTTCTTTCTACGAACTAATTCTCTTTTCCTGTACTATGTTCTTATATGCAATCTTTTATATATTACCACCACTGAGTGAACTACTTCTATGAATCCGGTGTTCATGTTGTTGTGCTAATGCGGTATGGCTACTTGGACCGATACACATATGTGCCTGATCCTACTTTGTAGCCGACTAACTGGTTTGAATGTGTGATTGGATAGAAACTACTTAAAATCACTTGTGTTAAACATTGTAAACACTTAACAATACTTGAACTCAATCTCTGTTCTATCATGTACATACAATCAAAGTCTAAAAGTGTTATAACTTATGCCCTGTGTCCTATTAATGTATAACGTAATGATACTGCCAATTAGATAACAGTGAATTATTGATTGGACCAATATTGTGTAAAACCCGTACGAGTAGTCTAGAGTACTTATCGGTCCTGCTTCCTGCCTAGCCCAGCCAGTTAAGTCCGGAACATCAATCTCAGCCTTCGCGATATAAATCATGTATTTTAAGCATACCGGGTTTATATACTAACCGAACAGACTACATTGTACCATAAAATAGGAAACAACATTTGTACAAGAATTAGCCAAATGTGGCTGTGAATAAGGGAGGTAGTAATTGATAGACAGGGCATAATTCAAGAATAGTAAATCGTACAATAATAATTCATAGGTCAAAATAAAGTTCATAATAAGAGGGGCATGAATATGAATAGTTTATTTACTTAACATTGATACAATAAAAATATATGCATAGTATTAGTCCAGAAATAGATTTCGACAGTTACCGCCATTCATTATTCTCATCGGGATATAACAAAAACAATCATCAAACGTCTTTAAAAATAATTTATATTCATTTTGATTATTGATGGGACTCTAACTTTAAGTGTTTCATCTGAACCGAATCATACTTTTTAATCGTGCACTGATTCTCTCGTTTTGTTTAACCACATGGTATATGTGTAATATTTTTCAAGAAATACGAATCTAATACAGTAGCTGTTATATCCTAGCGAAGATCAAATTACGAGTAACTTCTGAGAACTATTAGTGGACAACAGTAGTAGTTGTCGGCTTCTGTATATTTTCGTCTATTCATTATCATTCATTATTGTTCTTTATTTAGATTAAATGGAATCATGCCGGTAAAGATTGGCAAATCAGTCGTATGAATCATTCAATGTCTAAATCTTTATTATCATTTATTAAAACAAAATCAATTTATCATCATCAAGCAGCAATTGAACCGGTCAATGTTAATGCTAATAATATTGATAATGATCATCTAATGTTGTGCTATGCTTTAGCAGTGAATGTATTACAAAATCCTGTTGAAGGTAAGCAAAATTTGATCTGATTAACTTATACTTATATATAATCTGGTGTACGTGTGTGTGTGACAATTATTGAGAATCTGTTAGTCGTAGGCAGCATAAAATATGGTACAAATATGTATCGGGTGAATTTGCCACACCATATCAATTACCTAGATAAATACTAAGGGGATCGAAATAACATCGATACAATGATACTGATATATAACTAAATGTTAAGAATATAATTTCAATAGTTGAGATCATGATTGTCACTCAATTTTGTGGATTAGTTGAAGTTAGACATTAACACCATTGAATGCCGGCTCAATGGTCCAGTCGTTAAGTACTCGCGCGCGAGACCAGTAGGTCCTGGGTTTGAGTCCCGCGAGGCGGCGTCGTGGATGTGCACTGCTGAGGAGTCCCACAATAGGACGAAACAGCCGTCCAGTGCTTTCAGGTTCTCCATGGTGGTCTAGCTTCAATTGACTCATGATATCAACTATTGAAATTACTACAATCCCCACAAAACCTCTTCTGATGGTTAGAATATAGTTTGCGAAGTAAAATTCAGAAAGCTAAACAGACTGGATCTACTGACATGTCTCAAAGTAACTGTCATCGACACTTAATGAACTGATGCCACATTTTAGTTTGATCTCATTAGCTTTATTCTAACCTACTACTTTCATACATCTTTTTTGACATGTACTTTTTACATTATTTCTACTACTGTCTATATTAATAAAGATTTCGACTTCTTGTCTGTATTATCTATTGGTGAACTTTGCACTTACTCAACAACAACAGTGAAAATATACTGCACACATGTATGTTTTTAGCTGACATGGTTTAATGCGATATCAGACAAGTTCATAAGTGTAATCGTATAACCTGACAGTATATAATTCCTTGAATAGAAGTGATCAAACAATTATGGTTAATACTTAACTAATTTATATGCATGCTTGTAACTTTGATTCAACAATACAATTAAATCCGTTCTTTATTGTTTCAAAACTTGTCACTTTACATATATGAATAATATAACTGGGCTGCAGGTACATCCAGTTGACGAGTCCCAAATAGGACGAAACACGCGTCCTGGATTCCACTGTATTTCTTTGCTTAAAACCTTGTGACTTAAGGCTATATCGAATCAATGCGCATAGGATGTATAGGATAAAAGTAAACAATATCAAGTGAAAATGAATATTATATGTTCTATTCAATAACATATACTTAATTAAAATAAAGAATTCTCAGCATAAATGATTCAATATTGAATCACATTATTTATCATTTACCCAGTAAATAATTAAAAATTGTCTAGAAAAGATTTCTTATTCTATGATTAACTGTCATTCATATTCAGTCTTAAATCTTTATGAACAGTCTTGTATTCTTAACATCTATCTTCGTCGTCAAGTATGTTCAATGTTTAAATCATATGAGTGATGCCCCCAAATGCCTTGGTATGGCCGAGAGTGGGGTGAGCCCACCCTCCCTCTCTAAATGCTCTCACACGGCCACGCGTATACAGCCACTGCCAACGAAGTCCTACTCACTGCCTTCTCGTGACGGGGGTGTTGTTTACGAAAATGAGAGGACGAAAAGCGAATGTCCGGCGCTTTAACCGGATTTCAAACTGATGGTGCACATGGGCTCCAGTATCCTGCGGGAACAAATGGCGTATGAACCAATCATTGGTCACCAGCTACCATGGGAATGCATCTCCTTACGATGCTCCACTGCCTTGTGGGTTAGACTTTTAGGTCAAAGGCTCGGGGTGTAGCCCCCTAAGAAAACCACCTTTGGTCTGGGCACCCGGGCAGTATTACAACCCACACACACAAATATGGTGTGGCGCATATATATTTGGTGCCCTCTTGTACCAATATTTATGTGTTGAAATAATAAATAATAATATAATAATCATTAGTGATAACGTCTTGTTTCTTCAGTATGGTAAAAGAGCAAGGGAAAAGTATTTGAATGATCATGGTGGTACTTTTTTTAGTTTATTAGTAGTTAGTTTTCAGTAAGATGAAGAACCGCGTAAATTTACGAGGTTAACAGATATAATTATTTAATTCAAGCAAACTTCATATAACAAAAACAGGCCTAGAACGCACACTTGAGAAAAAAGTGATTTGAACATTTACATACTTCATATTATGTAATAGTTCAATAGTTTGATCAGAGGCAGTAGAAATACATATATGTTATTAAATAACCTATTGCTAACGAATGATATTAAAATCCTAAACAATTATGCGTTATTGACTAATTGTGCATACTCATGTATTAATTTAGCTATTAGTTTAATTTAACTAGTTATCTACAACATAGGACCAGGTACATATATGCATCTGTTCAAGTTGGCATACCTCATTAGTACAACAAGTTGAACACCAAATTCATAGAAGTAGTTACTTCTATGGTAGTAAAAAAACATTTCATATAAGGATATGATACAGGAAGAAAGAATTAGTTCGTGGAAAGAAAGGTGTAAAATAATTTTAATCTCACCGTTTAAAGGAAGATAGAGAATGTATTCACCTATATCATTGTGATGGATTCTGAGTTATGTCAAACAGAGTCTCCAAGCACTGGTTACGATAGTAGCGCGGACCGAACCAAGTAGTCTGAATCTATCAATATGGCTGAGGCCAGTAAGGCTTAAGCAAATACGTGTTCGTGTTAGAGTGTGGTCAGAGTCTAAACATGTATTCCAGAACAAGCGTCAGTTTTCCATCGAATCTCTGCAACGATGATTGATGGCAATAAGGTCTATTTGAGTCCATCGTTGGTTTGGTGTAGGGGGTCGCCATGTTAGACGACGTCTCTCCTTATGCAAAAAATAAACGATTGTCTGAGCACAGTTGCAGCAGACGGTCACTAGTATCCGTCCTCTGACCCGAAATACCAAAATACCCACCTAAATATCTTTCCGTTTTGTTTAAGCTACCTAATGGAGCATTAAAGTCACCTACTACGAGTACTATGACTGAGTGTTTAGCTTTTTAAAGAAGTTCAGAAAGCTTTCTATAAAAGTCATTTTTCATTTCATCCGGGCTGCAGTCAGTGGGATCGCAGACAGAAACGATGAAGAGGCAACGAGGTGTGTCCCTCTACTTCCGAGTTCTTACAGAGCCGTTTAGCCGAACAGCACATAGACGACTGTTAACAGGGATCTAATAGTGCTTGTTTTGCCCTCGTACTTAGTGCTATGCTTACACCTACCAGTCAACGAGAACTGGGTCGCCAGATAAACGGAGGGTGTGTCTCGTCGTCTCTCTGTTTTGGCAAAGTGAGGTGAAGTGAATGACCACACTGGGATCCTGTATGCGTGTTTCGGAGACACAGCGTACATCAATAGCACAAGATCCTAGGATCTCAGACAAGGAGACCTGCTGACCGATTTGACATATGTACGAACTTACGTACGTTGAAGGCTTCAATGTGTAGTGTGGAGCGAGGTTTCAGTAGACCTGGGACAGTGTTTTGCGCACAAGAATCGTTGGCTATGGTGACACTTGGGGAGGAAGTCGAAAGAGAAAGTTTAGCACTGAAAGTCGATGTAAGAGGAATAATAGGAATTGAAGAGGGAGGTTGATTATGAATACAGTGATCTTGAGTGCTGTTAGAGGTATGAGGGCCGTTATCACTTCCCGGTTGCCCACACCGTAAAAGGGTTGTTCTAGAGGTACCTGAAAAGGAAATTTGATTAGAGGTGGTTTTGTAGTGAACAGAACGCGGGTGGGGATTGTCGAATGTATTCAACACAAAATTACAGGACTTGTTAATAAAAACTAACAATCATGAAGTAAATGCGTAATTTGCAAAATGTCCACCAATTTTCTCAAGATGACTCAGACTTCATTGTTCTTGTATTTTCATACAAATTGCATCCTGTTTCCATTCTTTACTTTTCGATCCTCTTGTCTCTGCTCCCAGACCTTCTGTCCACGACTAACATCATATACTACTTATATCAATATAAGTGCCCCCTGAATGCCCTGGTACGGCCGAGAGTGGGGAGAGTCCGCTCTCCCTCTCGAAATACTCTCACACGGCCACGCGTATACAGCCTCTGCCAGGGAAGTCCTACTCATTGCCTTCTCGTGGCGGGGGTGTTGTTTACGAAAATGAGAGGACGAAAAGCGAATGTCTGGCGCTTTAACCGGATTCCAAATCAATGGTGCACATGGGCTCCAGTATCCTGCGGGAACAAATGGCATATGAACCAATCATTGGTCACCGGCTACCATGGGACTGCATCTCCTTACGATGCTCCACTGCCTTGTGGGTTAGACCTTTAGGTCAAAGGCTCGGGGAGTGGCCCCCTAAGATAACCACCTGCTTCGGTTTGGGCACCCGGGCAGTATCACAGCCCACACACAAATGATGAACTCTTTATGTCTATGGAAATTACTTTTGTCGCTTTGAAAAACAATCAATCGATTCAAATTATGATCACTACAATTATTGTCATTATTAATACTAATATTATTATTACTACTATTATTGTCATTATTGTTATTATCATTATTATTATTTTCCACATTATTCACCTTCTTTTATACTTATACAGCGGCTCGTCTTTGGTGGAATTCCGACTGTATCTAAACGTTCTCGAGTCACTGTCCGGTTGAAAATTGTATGTTACCACCGAATACGAGGACTGAAGCAGATTTTCTGAAACCACGTGCATCATTCAAACTGGCTGCCTTCAACGTTCGCACATTTATGCAGGTCGGACAACAGATAGGGCTGGCTATGTCTTTGGAAAGTCTTAATATCGACGTGTGTTGTCTATCCGAGACCCGTATTCAAGACTCTGGCGAAGTACTACAAATTCGATCTCCATCTGTCGCTTCGAAAAGCTTGTTTTACGTGCGCTTATCCGGGGACCCTGTGGCATCTTCGTCTGGTATTGCTGGCGTTGGTGTCGCACTAAGCGCTAGAGCTGAGGCAGCACTAGTCGATTGGATCCCCATTAACAGTCGGTTATGTGCTGTTAGATTAGAAAGTTCCATCAAAGTGAGAAGAAATCGGCGTGAGAAACGATGTCTTTTCGTCATCTCCGCCTATGCCCCGACAGATTGCAGCCCGGATGCAATCAAGGATGAGTTTTACCAGCAGTTATCAGTTCTTCTCCAGAAAGTGCGTTCGACAGATATTGTAGTACTAGCCGGAGACTTGAATGCTCAGGTCGGGCGTCTAGGCACAGAAGAGAGTCGTTTAGGTGGCCGATGGGGACTCGTTGGTCGCAGGTCAGATAACGGGGACCGTCTACTGCAACTTTGCACAGACCACAACCTGTTTCTGGCTAGCACTAACTTTCGGCACAGTCATCGCCGATGTGCCACCTGGCGTCCTCCCTCTGCATCTCAAGCCTGGACTCAGATTGATCACATCGCGATCAGCTACCGCTGGCGTGGTTGTGTACAAGACTGCCGCTCCTTTTGGAGTACCTATCTGGACTCTGACCATGCCTTGGTCTGCGCCAATCTTGCCTTACTTTTCAGTGGACAACGAAGTGAACGCCATCAACGGATTGATGTTAGCAAGCTGGTTGCAACTTCTGTTGCAAGTAAGTATTGAACCGAGCTAGCCTCTAGGCTAGCTACCACTCCACCGAAAAGTATAGATGAGCATTGGTTGCAATTGCATGACGCCATGAAAATGGCGGGAACAGTCAGTTGTGGGTTTGCGAAACGTCCCGCTTTTAAGCACTGGGTTTCTTCTGGTTCCTTACAACTCATTGAAGCCCGTCGGTCTACTCCGGGTGACCGTGAGTTTGACCATAAACGAAGGATGCTATGTAAGGAAATCGGGCAAAGCTTGCGTAAGGACCGAGAAGCCTGGTGGTCGATGCGTGCTAATGAGCTGGAAGCAGCAGCTGCATCTGGTAACTACCGGAAGCTCTTCCAACTCATCCGAGCCACTGGCAGCAAGAAGTCTGGTGTGAGTGAAACAATCTGCGAGGATGATGGGATGCCAATCGCTAACATCCATCGACGTCTTGGACGATGGGCAGAATTTTTCGAAGGGCAGTTCAACTGGCCTGCTGCTCCGGCAACATCGGTCAGACTGTCCTGCCCTCCATGGCCGGTGACGACTGATCCACCAAATGAGGAGGAAGTCCGCAAGGAACTCCAACTCTTGAAGCGTTACAAATCACCTGGTCCAGATGACTTACCTCCGGCTCTTTTTAAAGATGGTGGTGACTTTTTGACTAAGGAATTGACGACGTTGTTTACAAAGGTTTGGGAACTAGAGAGTGTACCAACGTCATGGAATGAGTCGATAGTTGTCCCTATCTTTAAAAAGGGTTCACGTCGTTCTTGCAACAACTATCGGGGGATAAGTTTACTTCCGATTGCGTCCAAGCTATTGGCTTCCGTCATTCTTCGTAGATTGTTCAAAATCCGAGAAAGATTGACTCGCGAGGAGCAGGCTGGGTTTCGTTCTGGTCGAGGATGTATTGATCATATCTTCACCCTCCGCCAAATGTTAGAACACCGCCATACTTTTCAAAGGCCAACAATCGTAGTGTTTCTTGACATCAGGGCTGCCTTCGATTCGTTGGATAGGACTGTTCTCTGGGATTGTCTATTGAAGAAGGGTGTGCCTGAGAAGTTTATTAACATCCTAAAAGCCCTGTATAAAAACACCTCAGGCAGAGTGAGGGCATACAACCACCTCTCTCCATTGTTCCATTCGAGCAGTGGGGTTAGGCAGGGTTGCCCAATCTCACCATTCTTCTTCAACTTTGCCATCGATGACATTCTGGAAACAGCTCTGATGAATGTAAGTAATGGTGGTGTGGATCTGTTGCCTGGAGAAAGACTTCTCGACCTTGAGTATGCGGACGATATTGTCTTACTGTGCGATAATGCCCAAGGCATGCAATCCGCACTTAATCAGTTGGCAATCAATGTCCGTAGGTATGGTATGTGCTTTGCACCTTCGAAGTGCAAAGTACTTCTACAAGACTGGCAGGATTGTAATCCTGTACTAACCCTGGATGGTGAGCGGATAGACGTAGTCGAGAAGTCCGTGTATCTGGGTAGCTGCATAAGTGCTGGTGGGGGTGTGAGTGATGAGATCAATGCACGAATAGTGAAAGCCAGAGCGGCTTATGCCAATCTGGGCCATCTATGGCGCCTTCGTGATGTTAGTCTGGCCGTAAAAGGTCGGATCTACAACGCGTCGGTGAGAGCAGTTTTGCTCTATGCTTGTGAAACCTGGCCTCTCCGAGTTGAGGACGTTAGACGACTCTCTGTGTTCGATCATCGCTGTCTCCGAAGGATTGCTGACATTCAGTGGCAACACCATGTCAGTAATGCAGAGGTTCGGCATCGTGTGTTCGGGCACAGAGATGATAACTCAATTGGTGTCACCATCTTGAAACACCGACTTCGGTGGCTTGGACATGTTCTACGAATGTCGTCCCAGAGAATTCCACGTCGTGCGTTATTTGCCGACTCTGGGACTGGTTGGAAGAAGCGGAGAGGTGGTCAGTGCATGACATGGTGTCGTGGCATGAAAGAAAGCTGCAAAGGACTGGCTTGTGTTGGTCCTTCACGACTCCCTGGTTGGGGTCCGAGAGATGGTGCTACACAGTGGCTAGAGACGTTATCAGATATGGCTCAGAATAGAAGCCAGTGGTGATCCTGCTGTAACCTTCTTTTACTTTCTTCATAAAATGTGGTTGTGTCTCCTTTACCTGAAAGATTTCTTCTGATTGTACCTCTTCGTCATTACTCTCTTTTTCTTTTGCGTTCCTTAGTTTTTTTTCTTTTTCTTTCTACTTCTCTTCGAATTCCCATTGTTTTGTGTGGCGCATATATATTGGCGCTCTCTTGTACCAATATTTATGTGTTCAAATAAATAAATAAATAAATAAATCAATATAAGTAGCACACACAGTCTTAGTGAGCTGAGAGCTTGACCGCAGCGCCCAAGGGACAACTACTTGAGGTCGGTCACACACGACCTTTTTGTTGGCAATTTTCGCGTTAGCTCCGTACTTGTTGGGAGACGGATATCTGTGGGATAAGGCGAGGTGTTCATTTTTAGGGTCAACCTTTTCTAACCCTACCTGTTGGGATATTCAGAAAAATATCCCATCCCCGTCCCCACTGTTATAATTTCTTCCTTACAGTTATGACCCAGCTATTCCTATTGTTTAGTATTCTCGGACACCTATTCACTCAACAAGTCCCCAAATCAGAACACGGTTGAACAGGAAAGAGATTATATTCCAAATAACAAAGTTAGATGGAAGTAAGGAGCACAATAGGGAGAACGTTAGTATGTTTATAGTTTTTACATGAGAAGATTCTAGAGTATTCTCCAAATATCAACTAGTGCTGATTGGATAAGGATTAGCCAATCAGTGTGCACCAAAGTAATCGTGCATTGAGTATGCTTTAATCCAGTCTATATCCCGCTAACACTACCCTTCCTTGTTGTAAGGCAGCATCGCTGTTATTCTGGTTGTCTGAAGGAAACACCTCCCTGCCGTCACGTTTTTGTACATTGAGCTGTACGACTTTGCCTTTGGGCCTTAGATATGCTGCTTTTAGTCTTACTGCTCTTTAACCAATCTGTCTGGCATAGTAGGAACTTGACGAACGATTGTTCCAGCCAGTATATCCCGATTGGTTCATCACAATAGACAAGCCCGACTACCACGTCAAGGTAGCAGCAACGTTCGGCTATAGTTTTTATTGGTATATATGGCAATAATACCAATAAAAAAACTAACTACTACTTAAAATGAATTAGGCAAGACAGTTAAGTTGTTAAATTTACAACCTAATAATTAAAAGTCGATTGCTTCAAAGTGTTAGAACATTACTTTATTTACCTACCTACTTACCTACCCATACACCTACTTGCCTAATTAATTTATCAAAAAATTGATTTTATCATCATTTTGTCAGCTGAAGAATATAATTTGGATAAAAATTTACAAATCAACATTCTTCAGAAAATCTTCTTTGTTATACTTTCATTCAATAAGGTTATTGTCAGGTTTGTTTTCCTTTAATCAATGTGACTTTTGTTTGTTATTGTTGTTTTTTCCCATTGTGTTAAACAATCAATTCAATTTTTTTTTCTTCATTGTTAATAGGTGATATAAATGTTATCAGATATCCGCCAAACAATAATATTGTTCATCAACCAGTGGAAGTGAAAACACGTGAATTTTATGCATTTTCATATTATTTCGATTTAGCTGTTAGTGTTGGTTTAATACATGAAAATACTGGTGGATTTCTTACAGTGAATGATTTTCAAAATGCTGCTGAACGAGGTAGGTATTTTTCTTCTTGGTTTTTTTTTCAACAAAAAATTTATTTTTGTTTTGTATCCCATATCACCATTGTGTTCGAAAAGTTTACGTTTTAGCCATTACGTAACTAATGGTTGCTCTGGTTGTCAGAAAAAGCATCGGCCTCGTGACTTCCGAAGGAGCCCGGCTTTCATCATGAGGCGTCATAACTCATCTAAATGAAGACCTTCTAACTCCCATGACAGAGATTAAATAGTTTGAATTATTTTTTCTGGTTTGTGTTTCTTTAACGAGTTACTATTCTACGGGATGTGGTCGCTAACCTCATGCTCAACTCTCTTCCTTTATCCTGGCATTGGACCGGAAATTAAGTGTAGAAATAACGGAGGTGGTTGCTTCGACGATGCGACTCCGTATAATAATCTCTTTTCAAATGAACACTTATTGACATATCATAACTTCTCAAAAAGCTAAACTAATTAATTACTGACTAATGTGATTACCAAACATTAAACAAGATAGAAGCCAAGAACAATCGTTCTGTAGTTTTATATTATTGTGAAACATAGATGAACGAACGGTTTTATTAGAAATACCAGGTGATCATTGATAGTATGTCAGGTATATTCAAACCTTAAAAATATTTCTTATTACAATTTATTTATTTATTTAAACGCATGAACATTGGTACAAGGAGGCAACAAATAGATATACACCATAGAAATAATTCAGTTTGTGGTTTTCTTAGGGGGCCACACCCCGAGCCTTCGACCTAAAGGTCTGATTCACAAGGCAGTGGAGCAACGTTAGGATATGCAGCCAAAATTAAGTTCATACGCCTTTTGTTCCTTCAGGATACTGGAGCCCATGTACACCATTGGTTTGGAATTAGAGTTTCCCAACTCACCTAGGTGAACTCTGTTTCCACCAACCCGGTTGCAGCACTGGACATTTGCTTTTCGTCCTCTCAACTTCGCAAACAATAGTAATGCCACAAGAAGGTAGTGAGTAGGACTTCCCTGGCAGTGGCTGTATACGCGTGGCCATGTGAGAGCATTTGAAGAGGGATTACTGACTCTCCCCACTCTCGGCTGTACCAGGGTATTACTGATATCCATTATATATTGGTGACACTAAGATTTTCCTAACACTCAGTCATCATCGTTAACAGTTATCATTTTGTGAACGTGATAAATACAACTGTACACATTTTCCTTGTTGTAAAAGCCCAGAAGTTACTTAAGATTAACCTCTGTTACTTCAGGTTTCAATGTCACTTTATTGATGAATATGATCCTGCATAGAGAGTTCATCATGAAAATTCTTACTCTGAAATCCAAGTTCATTTCTAGAAAAAGGATAATGAACATTTTTATACTTAAAATTTTCTAGATCATAAAATACTTCCTTTGTCACCAACGAGTTGAGTTCAGTGAATGTTGAAGTTTTCCAACATTCATTTATAGTATATTCAGCTTGATAGTTTATTATTTCCATCACAAGACCATAATTAGCAATCTCGTTGAGCCCCCAAATGCCATGGTACGACCGAGGGTGAGGAGAGTTCGTTCTCCCTCTCGAAATACTCTCACATGGCCACATGCATACAACCACTCCCAGGGAAGTCCTACTCACTGCATTCTCGAGGCATTACTGTTATTTACAAAATTGAGAAGACAAAAAGCGAATGTCCGGTGCTTTAACAGGGTTGGCGGATATGGAGAATCCACTTTGGGGAGTTGAAAATCCCTGATTCCAAACCAATGGCGCACATGAGCTGCCGGATTCTGAAGGAACAAATGGGCATGAACGAATCATTGGTCACCGGCTATCATGTGATTGCATCTCCTTACGTTGCTCCACTGTCTTGTGGATGAGAACTTTTGATCGAAGGCTTCGGGTGTGGCCTCCTAAGAAAACCACCTGCATCGGTTTTGGCACCCGGACAGCATCACAGTCTATACACAAATCAAGTAATTTGTGTTGTCCATATGTATTCGGTGTCCCTTTGTACTGATATTTATGTGTTCAAATAAATAAATAAATAAAACCCTTCTGGATTCTTGAAATTCGACAAACATATTTAGTAGACTCTAGCTAGACCATTATCAATATTGAAAAATGTGTGTAATCATGTGCCTTAAGTCACTTAAATTTCCGATTACCTTTGATTTCGAGCTTTATTCATTACATTTTCGATCACTGAAGTAAAGTTACAATCCCATCTCTTTATAAGAGTCTAAATGCTCAATATTAGTGTCTTTTACGATTGTATGTCACTATATTGCTTCAAATCTCTATGACAGTATGGATTTCCTCAAAATTACAAATGATGTTCTTTATTGACTAATAGTATCAGTTGATTATACAGTGGTCTTGAGTGCTGTTAGAGATGTGAGGGCGGTTATCTATTGCCGGTCGCCCACACCGTGGAAGAGTTCTTCTGGAGGTACCTGAAAAGAAAATCGGATTAGAAGTGGTCTTAGCGACCTGGGAGCGTGACCGCAGTGCCCAAGGGACAACTGCTTGAGGTCGGTCACACACGACCTTTTTATGGGTAATTTTTGTGTTAGCTCCGTACTTGTCGGGACTTTACCGCCGGAGACGGATATCCGTGGGATAAGGCGAGGTGTTCATTTTTAGGGTCGACCTTTTCTAACCCCACCCCTCCTTGTGGGAAGGTAGCATCGCTGTCATGCTGGTTGTCTGAAGGAAACACCTTACTGCTGTCACACCTCTGTACAGTCAGCAGTACGACTTCGCCTTCGGACCTTGGGTTTGTTGCTTTTCGTCTTACCGCTCTTCAAGCGATCTTTCTGACGTGGTAGGACCTTGAGGAACAGTTGTTCCAGCCAGTATAGCTCGGTTGCTTCATCATAATAGGCAAGCCCGACCACCACGTCAAGGTAGCAACAACGGTCGGGACTAATAGTACCAACTAGCTACAAAGATTATTTTTATTCTTTTCCATTGAATTTCTTCAATCATATATCTGTTTGTTTTCTTTAAGAATACTTAAATGTTCTTTTGTAAATATCAAATCAATTAGCCTATGTTTGTTTAATGCAATGATCATTCTACATTTAGTTTTAAGGCTAATCGATTGAAATTAATTATAGTACAATGGTATACACCCTTGTTTAGATATTCCATATACGAGTGTGTGAAATTTCATTTACAGCAAAATTGATTATTTTATGCGAATTGTAGAGAGAGAAAGAGAGAGACCACTAAATTACATTTCAATGGTGTTTAGTTAAAATCATCTTAGAGTTTTCTTTATTTCGTTTAATTAACTGATAAAAGTAAGGTTAATTGATCCTTCGAAACTAATTGTTTAATTCACACATAAAGCTTACACATGTAAATAATTTACTTCTATGAAGTGTTGCTAATGCGTTTATTATCAATATAGGGATTTGTAAAGAGATTGTAGTATTTTCATACTTGACACTACGAGTCGATCTAAACTAGATCGTTGTTGAGAACCTGAAGACACTGAACGACCATATAGTGGTCGGAGGTAGTCGACAGGAAACCCTGGACACGGGTTTCGTGCTACTTGGCACTTGTCAGCAAGGTGTACCTGTAATTTCGAGGGAACTGGTGCTCCCTGACGGAACGACCGTTTTGTCTTAGTGTGGAACTTCTCAGCAATGCGTATCTGCGATCCCACAAGGGCGACTCGAACACAGGACTTTCAGTTTCGCGCGCGAACACTTAACTTCTAGATCACTGAGCCGGTATCCAGTGGTCTTAATTGTCCAACTCCAATCAGTCCATGACCTTGTTCAACCCTTCATCGATTGCCTGAGGTAAGTGAGATTATATCGGAAAAAGACGATACACTCATCTGCTCCAAGTCCAGGCGTTTAGAACGATGGGCGGAACACTTTAGGGAACAGTTCAGCTGGCCTTCAACTACTCTACAACTACCCTCCATTCCCAGACAGTGTGAATGGAACATTGAAGTAGGTCCCCCGACTCTTGCTGAAATTCAAAAGACCATAGTTAATCTGAAACGAGGAAGGGCAGCTGGTACAGATGGATTGGCTCCAGAGGTCTTTAAGGATGGTGGTCCAACTTTAGCGATTAAGTTGACTAATATTTTAGCTAAGATCTGGGAATTAGACTTTATCCCATCTGACTGGTCGCAATCACTTATCGTCCCAATATATAAGAAATTGTCAAAATCATCCTGTGACAACCACAGATTGATTAGTTTAACTAATATAACATCTAAAATACTGGCCTCGATAATTATCAGACGCCTAACTAAGACTCGTGAACTGCAAACACGAGAGAACCAAGCTGGCTTCAGACCTGGTCGTGGCTGCATCTACCACATATTCACCATTCGTCAGGTTCTAGAACACAGGCATACTTATCAACGTCCGACAATGGTGGTCTTTCTTGACTTAAAAGCAGCATTTGACTCGGTAGACCGCGAGACTCTGTGGCAGTGTCTGTCATTGAAAGGCGTACCTCAGAAGTACATAAACCTTGTGAAGGCTCTTTACTCGAACACTACTAGTCGAGTCAGGGCTTATGGCGAACTGTCATCTACTTTTGCAACCTTAAGTGGTGTCCGTCAAGGCTGTCCACTTTCTCCATTTCTGTTTAACTTCATCATAGACCTACTGATGGAAATAACATTCTCGTCGACTGAATTCTCAGGTATTGATCCCCTACCAGGAGGTTCACTTATCGACTTAGAATACGCAGATGACATAGTCCTGTTTGGTGAAGACTCTGACAAAATGCAGTCTTTTGGTAGCACTAAGCAACAATGCCAGAATGTTTGAGATGCGCTTCTCTCCCTCTAAATGCAAGTTGTTGCTTCAGGACTGGTCTGCGTCAACACCTGAACTAAGTATAGGAAGTGAAGTGGTCGAACGCGTTGACAACTTCACTTATCTTGGAAGTCTGATCAGCCCTAATGGGTTGGTGTCTGACGAAATCTCAGCACGGATTCGAAAAGCTCGTTTGGCTTTTGCCAACTTACGTCACCTTTGGCGAAAGCGAGATATCCGTCTATCAATAAAAGGACGAGTATACTGCGCGCAGGGTATTAGGGAATGATGGTAAATCAGTTGATGAGGTTATGAATCTTCATCGACTGAGATGGTTGGGCCACGTATTACGTATGCCTGAACACCGATTACCACGACGTGCAATGCTAACCGGTATTCGGGATGGTTGGAAGAAAGTTAGGGGCGGCCAAACCAAAACGTGGCATCAGTACCTGAAGTCACTAACTTCTAGTCTGAGCCATGTTGGTAGATGCAGACTACTTGGTTGGGGTCCGCGTGACTTTCGTAACCAATGGTTGGAGACTCTTGGTGACATGGCTCAGAATCGATCACAATGGCGTCGGTGTATACACTCCCTGTCTTCTTTTAAACTAAGAGACTAAAATCACTTCATTCTTTCTGTCTACGAACTAATTCTTTCTTCCTATACTATATCCTTATTGCAACCTTTGACCTAACCACTCCTATGAATCCGGTGTTCATCTTGCTGTGCTAATGAGGTATGGCAACCTGGACCGATGCACATATGTGCCTGGTCCTACGTTGTAGCTGACTGACTGACTGACTGCCTGAGGTAGATAACTATTTCACACCTGACACGGAGTCTCATACTAGCACAAAACGGCCGTCCAGTGTTTCTGTGTTTTCAATGGCGGTCTATCTTAGATCAAATTGTGATTTTAACTATGATAATTCATTTGTTACTGGTACATGCTGGGGAATATCAAAGAAGATTTCATATAATTGATTCTATTTATGATGAATAAGTATAAAATCGGAACAACATTTAAAGCAGAATAATATGAATTTATTTTATTTCGTAGTTTCTCGATAGTTGTTTACAACCGTATTAGTTTTAAAGTGTGTAACGTTGGAGTATAATGTCATGATATAACAGTATGAATCGTTGCATATATTTCTCTCAGGTCCTAAGTGTTGATAATGATAGACAGGCTGAGTAATTTGGACAATATTTCATTGTTCTTTCATCATGGATAAGTTAAAGTCTTCTTTTGTAATGGTATAGCCAGTTCTCTTGCTCAATTTTCGTACAAAAACAATAAGTGAATAGATTTCGTCATTTCATATAATCCAAGCATCGACATATTCACCAATTTGTATAATTAAATAAAATGTAATTTTGTTGTATAACATGGATACAAATCATTTAAATCATTAGTATATAGTGATTGATTATTAGTGTTTACAGTTTATCAATGATTGAAATAAGTGAAAGCGATCATGATGTAACCGACTACATAAAACGTATATATATATATATATATATATATATATATATATATATTAAAAACTTAGTTCTTGCCAACCGTAACTTGAACTCAAAGTTTATTTTTGTTTATCAACTCATCCATCTGGTACACTTGGGCATGAACCACATTCTAAGTGTAGGAGCTGATGATAATATTATCCATTTGCTTAAACTAAAGTGGGTTGAGCGGGATTCGAACCCCCACTATCTTGTGAATTCTAAGTAAAACAAACACAGTAAATAATTCTAAAGAAATCGAGTTCTTCTAGTGTATTTGTAATATTTTCTTTCCATTCCCATTTATGCCCTCTTCATCTCTCGCATTTCTGTCGATGTCATTATCATCATCATCTTCTTCACAGTTTGTCGTAACCCAAATCCTCAGAAACCATTCGATTGCATGGATCTTAGTTTTATCACTGCATTATTGCATAGTGGTTATGGGTTCCCGTCAGATAAAAAAATTGGAGTAAGTTTGACTTTTTGGTTAATGATAATAAGTTTTTAAAGATCTTTTTTTCTCAATCTGTAATGGTTAAATTTTCAATATGAAAATGGCAAATAAACAAAAAATACAATCTAAGTGTAAACCATTGATCATTCAAATAGGTGATGTGTTTTCTTTAACATATATTATTTGTTTCTTTGTATGTATGTATGTATGACCATAACCACTATCTAATTACTTGGCGTTGTTTCACTTGTATCTTCTCATTGTCATTTAAGACTGCAATCAATCAATCTCTTGTTAGCATATATCCATCCTGTACCCATTGCCTGGATACAGCCTTAAGTCACAATCTTTTTTAAGCAAAGATGGATTATGGTTGTCAGTGGAATGCAGAACTCGGATTTCGTCCTATTTTTGGGACTCATCAGCTGGATGTAATTGCATCTCAGAGTTGATGTTCACTATGGGATTCGAACATCAACTCTGGGATATAGGTACATTCAGTTGACGATTCCCAAATAGATTGAATTGTGTATCCTGAATTCCAGTACTAATCACTATTCATCTTTTCTTAAAAATTATTATCTAATTAGTTAACCATTTTCCATTTTACTGCTTTCTATTTAATTTAATAAATAATTCTGATGATTAAATTAATTTATTGATTGTTGATCATCTCATCATCGGTACACTTTTTATCATCTAATTGTACTCATGAATATCATTGAATGTTAAGTGCAAAAAAAGGTTTTATACGTCATGTTATTACATCAAAAATACATTAATTAGATAATAAATTTTATAATTTGATTCTATCAAAATATTAGAATTCTGTGAGAGATTATGACAATTATGTCATCTACCGACTTCAAATCGACAAGAATGAATCTAACTAACATAATTCTCTCTATAAAGGTATATTCATGTTAAATTTGATAAAGATAAAGATTTTTGTAGATAATTTCAAGTAAGCATATCTGATTATACAAACACATTATGATATCAAGATGAGGTGTTGTCAATGTTGATTCATTTTTATATTAGAGAATTCTATTGTGAAATCATAACTTCTTTCAAATGATCTATCAGCTATATAGAAACAACCCGAATAACTCTGAAGAAGATGAGAATCTACATTACATTTTTTGACGACCATCAAATCATTATTAAGAATATTGTTAATGACTTCAAGCACTGATGCCACGTTTTGGTTTGACCGCCCTTAACTTTCTTCCAACCATCCCCAACACCGGTTAGCATTGCACGACGTGGTAATCGGTGTTTGGGCATACGTAACACGTGACCCAACCATCTCAGTCTATGAAGATTCACAACCTCATCAATTGATTTACCATCATTCCCTAATACCCTGCGTCTAACCTCACTATTACTTACCCGGTGATCCCAGCAGATGCCAGCAATATTTCTAAGGCATCTGTGGTCAAATACTAGTAACTTATGAGTATCTTCTACTCTTAAGGGCCATGTTTCGCTGCCGTAAATTAAAACAACGGACTGCCGCGCAGTATACTTGTCCTTTTATTGATAGACGGATATCTCGCCTTCTCCATAAGTGACGTAAGTTCGCAAAAGCCAAGCGAGACACCAACCTATTAGGGCTGACCAGACTTCCAAGATAAGCAAAGTTTTCAACGCGCTCGACTTCTTCACTCCCTATCCTTAGTTCAGGTGTTGACTTCTGGTCTGAGCCATGTTGGTAGATGCAGACTACTTGGTTGGGGTCCGCGTGACTATCGTAACCAATGGTTGGAGATTCTTGGTGACATGGATCAGAATCGATCATAATGGTGTGGGTGTATACACTCTCTGTCTTCCCGTAAACTAAGAGATTAGAATCGCTACATATCTTTCTTTCTACGAACTAATTCTTTCTTCCTGTACTATTTCCTTATCTGCAATCTTTCTTTTATATATAACCACCTCTAAATTAACTGCTTTTATGAATCTGGTGTCCATCTTGTTGTGTTAATGAGGTATGGCAACTTGGACCGATGCATATATGTGCCTGGTCCTACGTTGTAGCTGACTGACTGACTATTAAAATGGTTCAAAAGAAAGGCTAGTAGCTGAAATACTTTATGTGCTAAGAAATTTCAATAGTTGATATCATGAGTCAATTGAAGCTAGACCACCATGGAAATCCTAGAAGCACTAGACGACCATTTCGTCCTATTGTGGGACTCCTCAGCAATTCGTATCCACGACCCGGCCTCGTGGTATTTGAACCCAGGACCTAGGTTTTTCATAGTGGTCTAGCTTCAATTGACTCATGATCTCAACTATTGAAATTACTACAATCTCCACAAAACCGATTCTGAGATTACTAAATTGTTCGGTGCTCAACAAAAGGAAGGTCTTACAAATTGACTGACTTGAACAATCTTCCAAAACAGTCACACTCAACTTATCCAAAGTCATATAAAACCATTGTTCATCTAAATCTCCAATATTACGAAATGACTAGAGTTAGAAATATATCGGATCATATTTGTCTACCCTTAAATTCTGAGATTCTCAGTTCCTCATAATTTCTTTTTTGTTGTGTGTTTTTATTTCACTAATTTGTAATTTCTTTCCGAGTCATATGTTCGATGTCAAACTTTTTTATTTATTAACACTGATACTGTTACCACCTCTACTATCCTGGAATTTGATCTCTTTTTTTGTTAGTAGATTATGACAACCTAAACTAATGTACATATGGATCAGGTTGTTTGAAGCGTTCGACTGACTAGCTCATGACTTTATTGTAAATGAATAAATGATTATCCATTCATTCATTCTTGTCATATGTTTCTTTTTTGTTTGAATTTTTCTTATGAATCATAGAAACACTCTATTTATGAGTAGTAATGTGCTGATAGTATTTACCAATAAAACACAACAACAACAACTGATAGCTGATAACATGTGCATATTTGAAACGAATTCATTTAACTTAGTTTTGAACTATTTTAAATATGAGCAAAGATGGATAGTGGCTAGCAGTGGAATCCAGGACGCGCGTTTCGTCCTGTTTGGGACTCTTCAGCCGGATGTACCTGCATCTCAGAGTTGATGTTCACTCTGGGACTCGAACTCAGTACCGTTCACTTCCAACGCCATCGCGTTATCCACTTAGCAACTGAGTCCTGATAGCCACTTGCTTGTGCAATGGGGTGAAGTTTAATTCACTTGATATTGTTTTATTTGAATCTTCGCATTAATGCTTTAGGACTGAAATTGATCAGTCTCTTATTGGCATATGTGCATACTGTGCGTATGCTTCGATATTGCCTTAATTTACGCGTCCTGGATTCCATTGCTAGCCACTATCCATCTTTGCTTATAATGCTTGTAAATTAAGGCAGTCCTAAAACATCAATGGGAAGATTCAAGTAAAACAATATCAAGTGAATTATTTTAAATACGGTTTGAATGATTTTGTTTCTGGTTAGCGTTTTATTTTTGGCGAGTTCGTTTTCTACAGGATAAGGTCGTTAACCCCTATGCTCAACCCTTCTCTTTCTTTTATTCGGGCTTGAGACTGGCAATAGCCTTAGAACGGCTTTAGACGGAGTTAAATGAGTCTAAAATTTAGATATAATGGTAACTAAATGTATGATTGTAACGTTGTCTTTCTTTTTTTTTGCTCTACAGTTTTTTAAAAAAGTCAATTCTTTTGAAATCAATTGGAGTCTTGGTGCCTTATTTTCAGAAATGTATCATAAATAAAACTGCCTGAAAATAAAGGATATTACGTTCATTACAACATTATTGTTCTTTACTTTGTATGATACATGCGTTAGTTATATCGATCAGATTTCTCTTCTTTTATATATATTTGAAAAAAAAAGTTTTATGAACTCTATATTCATTTTTTTAAAATCTATTTTTATCAACTTTCTTAATACCTACCTACTTACCTACCCACCTACTTGCCTACTACTACTACTACTATTAGTAACAATAGGGTCTATATTGTTCTTTTTAACTGATTCGTTGTTGTATGACAACTATTTATTGCAATGATTGCATATATGTTAAATTTTAATCCTGTTTTTGTTCTCTCTTTTTTTTGTTTATTCATTTACTTTACATTTACGTACGTAACATTCAATGAATCTAATAACTATCTGATATAATGAATCCAACTGAAAAAATTTTTTTCATCCTTTAAAGTTGCTCAGATCAAATGTTAACGCCGTTTATTTTCAGCTCTTAAATTGTTCTTTTTTCTCTCTCTCTCTCTCTCTTCTGTTTCTGAGTGTAGATAAAGTCTTCTCACTATCATTTTAAAAATGAAATTATTTGGCTGATATTCTCAGTATAGTCAACTTTTCAAATCCAGTTCGATCTGATTCTTTCAATATAATCTTAGAACGTCATCTTAATACTTTTTCGTCATAAATTATTCATTTGTCAAGCTTTTCAAGTTATGTAACTTCAACAGATAATGTTTGTTTGTTTGTTTTTAAATTACACTGCTTGATGGATTGGACACTTCGATGAATTAGATGAATGATGGATAATACAGGCTAATGTCTCAACCTAACCATTTAAAAATTAATCCGTTATTTTATTTGTATGATAGGGGTCACGAATTTAGAGCATCTAATTAGGGGTAGATCTTTTCATATACTCACGCCTCGTTGTCGGAGTGGTAACAGCTTAATCTTGTTGTAAATTTCAATGAAAGGGAAATATTATTGTTTTCAGTGAACTCGGATGTTACTGTTTCGAAATTACTGTTAATATTCGGTTTTCGTTCAAAGATCAAACTCAAATGGGTGATCAATCTAGACAAACGCAAAATATAGGGGAATGATGCTTGCGAAATGATTAAGTAAAATAAAGGATAAGGAGTGCATGACGTCACTGGCATTTAGTGTCCATAAACTACCAGGTTGATAGAGAAAAACTTCCCCACGCAACTATATTTCATCCGTTACGAGCAACGGAGTATAACAGTTTGATTAGTGAAGAGGTACTGAATGAATGGGGATTTGCACACAAATGTCGGAATAGTTTCAAAACAAATTTATACAGTCCAGATTGTACCTGTACTAACTTGGATCAAGGACTTAATCAAAATATCATAATACGTAGGAACGAATATTAATGCGCAAATAGAAACTGGTCGAATCACACTTAGATGTATATATAGTGAACGAGTGAAACAGTAATAGACAACATGTAAAAATCGTTAATTTAGAGCTCGTTTTCCATCAGAACAACGAACAGTGTTCATGCAATTAACGAACATACTTCTACTTAGGGCCGACGACTGGAATAGAAGCATAGGTCCACCAGTGCTTTCGAATCTAGTAATTACAGATATCGTAGTGTCCAGACGAACCAACGAGAAAGCTTCACGCTCATTTACCAAATACCAAAATAAAATTATGATTTGGTGTGAGGAATTATTATCAGTTAGTTGTTTCTCTACGAAATGATATCGGGTATAATGCAAGGATCCTAACAACTATATCTAACTCCTAGAACAAAAAGGCAATATATTATTTTTCCGTTATCTGATTGGCTGAAAAGGTGTTGATAGTTCTCTGCCGTTCGGCTACATACAAGCCTATGATCTCACTTAATGGATAGTAGCCTATAATAAACACACTCACGAATGGGCGTTCCCAGTGAAATCGGGCAATTGGTTCAAATAAGCAGTACATGGTGATTGCAGACATGTTTTCATAAGCAATATTACACATACAAGATGAAGCATTTTACTGTGATTACATATAGGTGCAATTTTATCAGTAATAACTTGTTCCTAAAGGGCACAGTTTAAACGTTAGATCCTTTTGAACGTGCCCGCCCTTTCGTTTCAACGACCTTGAACGTCCTGACTAGAGGCGGTTATTCCGTATTTCGATTGCCGTGCGTTGGTTGGATTGCATGAGTATCAAGCTTTTTCATATAAAAGTCATCTTATGCTGCATAAAAAGCACGAAATAAATACCAAAAGCATTAATTTAGCATTCTCTGTTTTGTCGTGTACACTTTGGCTCTGTTGTTGCTTTGTAGTTTGATCTGTGATCCCAACAACTGTACTAAACCTTAACGAAATGTCAAGTCACAACTAAATCCTAAGTATTTGTAGTATTTCCTTGGGTTATTATTGTTGCAAGGAATAACTTTTTAATAACTAATCATGGCCGTTTGTAGTGATTCATACTCTAGTGACATTTCAGTCGACCTTAGCGATGCCTTTCGAAGTATAATACTGAACAAGCGTTTTGAGTGCTGGGATGATTTTGATAGCGCATTAAAAGAGTTCCGAAAAGTATGGAATAGTAATTTTATCGCTTCTCAGACTACTTATACTAGTTACATCCACACGGAAAGCAGATTTCTAAAGTATGTCAGGTTCAAATACCTGTTTCTAACGTTTCATTGTACGTTTGGTCATAAGCGGAAATCGGAAGGTTTGAAAGTGAAGCAAAAATCGTAAGATCTTTAACTAATATCTGATGTTTAAGGTCTAAATTCCGTGTAAGACTAGTGGAGCAAGGATATGTCATCAAATCCTACAACATGCTCCACAATCATCCATGTAGTAGTTCATGGATGGTATGTTATCTATGGACAAGAGGATTCTCATCAGAAGAAAATGAGTCAGCAGATGAAGCTATCGAAAGTATTAAGGAGAGAACTGGTAAATAAGCAACCGCTGCCGACGTCAAAGGTATGAAATCTACACTCTCCACTGGTAAGTGTATATAAATATATTTCAGGTTGTACTCAGAGGCAGGTAGTGAATATGCTGAGACAAAAAGGCGAAGTGGGAGAACATTTAGAAAATGGATATGCCACGCGAATATGTTTCAGTAGTTATGACCAAATACGGTTGTACAGGAAATATCCAGAAGTTCTGTGCATTGATTCTACGTATAATACCAATAATAAAAAGTCAATATGTTTTTCGTTGTTGTTATGACTTTAAGTTGTTGTAGATTTCTACCCTGTGTTATCGATCGATTACAATGACACGTAAACACGTACGGACGGCCTAGAGTCTCGATTGGTCCCACTTCCCTGTCTAGCCCGGTCAGTTGAGTCCAGAACACAAGTCACAGCCTCGGGGATATGAATCACTATATTTCAAACATACTTTGTTTATATACCAGTCAAGCATACCACAGCGTACCATAAAAATAGAAAACAACAATTTGTACAAGTGAACAGATATCGACCAATAGGAAATGTCCATTTAAAGTCCAAGGACACCATTGGACTTAACATGATAATTATTGGTATATTCCTGCGCATCCACAACAGTTGTATTTTACTATGTAGATATTCGTTATTCCGGTTGGTGGTGACAGATAACTGGGGTCGAGGACGAACTGTTATGTTTGCGTGGACACGAAAGGAAAAGCGTGCCGATGTGACATGGATTTTAGATAAATTCAAAGAGATAATGTGTAACACAATGTTGACAGAAACATTTACGATGGATTGTGAACGATCTGAAAGCGCAGTTGACTGGATAACACACGGACATGCAAGCATCATTCTGTGCAACTTTCATGTAACTAGAGCTTTCTGAAAAAAGGTACACCAATGGTCGACGAAGCGAAACTTCAAGTTGCCAACCACTGGCTCTTCTCTCATTACCTTCAAAAATCATGGAGTCCCTGATATGCGACGGTATAAATGACTATTTACTGTACTTCAATTCCCTCTCACCCCAACAGCATGGTTTCTGGAGGGGTTACTCTTGTATAACCAACCTGCTGCCTGCGGTGAACAGATGGACAAGCATCCTTGATCACAAAGGGAAGGTTGATATCATCTACCTAGATTTCTCAAAAGCTTTTGATAAGGTTAACCATACATGTCTTATCAATTAGCTCTAAAGATTGGGTATAAAACCACCTCTAATTGATTATCTCACTTCGTACCTGAAAAATCGACATTTTAAGGTCAGGGTTAATTTCACTTTATCTCAGGCTATGAAATGTCCTGGTGGGGTTCCCCAGGGCTCAGTACTAGGACCTCTTCTCGTCTTGATCTACATAAATGATCACCCACAACAGGTAACGTCAGACTTATTACTTTTTGCCGACAACGTGAAACTTTGGAGAGAGATACGCAACCAGGAGAATATACAGGCACTTCAGGAGGATCTGACTCGATTTCAAAGTTGGGAGGACAGTAACGGACTTGCTTTCAACTCTTCAAAGTGTAAAGTAGTCCATCTGCGACACGTCGCAGGTTACAGTTACAGCTTAGGAAACTCCTATCTAGTAGTATCTCGAGTCCAAAAATATTTAGGAGTCCTGGTGCCCCGTGATTTAGTCTTACGCTAACTGAGACAAAAATGCCTTCACAGCAAACCTTGAACTGGTAACATTGAAGCGCATTTTTGGCCAGTGTGACGGAAGAATTTTCCACATAATCTTCAATAGTTTCATCCGTCCCCACTTAGAGTACAGAAACATGGTACTTCCCCCCTCAATCCAAAAGAATGAGGACACTTTGGAGCGTATCTAACTGCGAGCCACGAAATCAGTTCGAGGACTCAAATTTAAGTCATGAAGAGCGCCTCCATTCACTTAACCTTTACCCACTAGAGTATGGGCGTCTTAGAGATGATCAATTAATGGCTTATAGTATTCTCAACATTTCTGAACATCCCCCTAAACACTTACCTAAGCTTAATTTCAACACGAACCGAAGGGGTAACACCCAGAAATTGGAGAAATAACTTCTACTCCTTAAGGTTTGTCAAATGCTGGAATTCACTGCCGGCTGAGCTAGTCCAAGCGACTTCCCAGAAGTCCTTTAACAGGCAACTTGATCTATATTTAAGGACCAAGGTCAGCATCGTACTATGATTTACCTCTTTCTTTTTCCTCCTTTATTGTTAACAAACTCAGGTTGCTGCTTGGAGGATTCGGTGATCCACTGCTGCTAGACACGAAGCTCGTTAAGCGAAAGCATCTTCGATTCCGTCCACAACCATTTGAACTACCTAGCCCAACTAGTGTGGTTGTTAAAATATTAGAAAGATTATTCGGAAGGAGCTGTTTAAGTATCTCGATAAAATCCGGATCCTCTCGGAGAAGCAGCACGGCTTCAGAATAGGTTATTCTTGTCTCACTAACTTATTAGTGGCTCGTGAAAGCTGGTGTGTTCTTAAGGACCAAAAGCTACCTGTAGATGTCGCCTTCATTGATTTCAGTGAAGCTTTTGATAAAGTTCCGTACAACCGGCTGTTATATAAGTTAAGAAAAGTCGGGATTGGAAGTAATTTATTGATGTGGATAAAGGACTTCTTAGTTGGGCGTCAACAAAGAGTAAGGGTGAACTCCAAGTTGTCTAGCTGGGAAACTGTGCTTAGTGGAGTGCCCCAGGGTACAGTTTTGGGGCCAGTGCTATTCCTCTTGTATGTAAATGACCTTCCTTGTCTCCTATCATCATCGGTCTTGCTATATGCTAACGATGTCAAGATATGGAGAACGACACGATGTAAGAGTGATAGCTTAGAACTTCAAAATGACCTGAAGAAGTTATCTGAATGGTCTCAAACATGGCAGTTGCCGATAAATACTTCCAATTGTGTTGTGATGCATATCGGTCATCAAGGCACAGATACATACACGATGAATAACACTGAGCTACCTGTCGTCCAGACATATAATGACTTAGGAGTTATCGTTAGTCAAGACTTAAAGACTACTGCACACTGCCGTGCAATAGCCGCCAAAAGTTTTAGAACGTTATGGTCAATACGTAGGGCTTTTAGTCATGTCGACACTAAGACGTTTTTGACTTTGTATACAGTGTTCGTTCGTCCTAAACTTGAGTACTGCATACAAGCGGCTAGCCCCTGCTTAAAAAAGACAGTGAGCTTCTGTAAAGCTTCAGAGGACGGCGACTAAGCTGATTCCCGGAATAGCGAAGCTTCCGTATGAATCTCGACTGGCCAAGCTGAACCTTTTCCCGTTGTCATATCGCAGAACTAGAGGCGACTTGATTACAGTCTACAAATTGCTTAGTGATAAATTTGCACCTAACATGCCCTCATTTTTCTTGTTTTCCAAAACAGAGAATTTACGAGGACACTCCAAAAATGTTCATAAGCCGAGAACAAATTACTTGTCAGCTGACTATCGACTTTCCCATCGAAACATCAACGAGTGGAATTCACTACCTCAGCACGTGGTTGAGGCTCCATCCGTCGACTCTTTCAAAAGAAAGTTGGATCAACTGAGAGACCACCATTGCCAGGACTAACATAGGCCATCGAGCCTCCTGTCCTTCCCAAGCTGAAACTGAACCGCGGGCTTTTGGGAATAGTACGTAACGCTATCGTGTTTAGCACCAGATTCCGTTAGTTTCACGGTTGTGTAAATTTTCGTGTTAAATTTTGCGATATATTCGTACAGATTGTTATGATTGTCTGTACATATCACTGTTGTTAGTCGACTTGTCTATTTCCTATCGAGATGAAATTACTATATAACTCAATCAACCACCCAGACAACCAAAAAAGGGGAAATAAATGCGAACAAAGGGGAAATAAAGGGGTAAATGCTTTGGAAAAGAAAGGGGAAACGAAAGTGAAAACGCATCAGAATGTCGCCTTTTTCGCCTGTCTGGGGGGAATACTGCGGATTTCCCCCTTTTTACCGCTTTGTCGATAAATTGCCGACTTTTCGACTAAATATCCGCTGAATTGTCTACTTGTCGCCTAAATATTCGCCAAATTACCCACTTTTCGCCCAAATTTCCGCCGCATTGCCGAATTTTTGCTTAAATGTCCGCCGAATTTTCACCTAAATTTCCGCGGAATTGTCTACTTTTCGCCTTAATACACACAGAACTCCCTATTTTCGATCCATTGACATAACCCCAAAGGTCTCCTATGTTCGCCTTTATTTTCAACAACAGACCAAAATAAATCTGCAATGCACTGGAAAACCGGTGTATTTTCAAAAAATTTTATTTAAGAGGAAAATCGTATTATTGTACAACATTAGAGCAGAAGCTTGAGCATCAGTCGTTTTGTATATCCACTGTAATTGCTAATTCATTGTTATTTGAAAAGATCTACAAAAGATGAAACCGGTGATGTATTATTCATAAGGCATTTGCATCTAATCTAAAGTTAACTGACACTCAAACACACATCCTTAACACTTCTATAGTTTCCCATGTAAGTAATAAAGTGAGCTCTTTTACCAAAAATTGTTTATTAAAAATGAGGTAGATTATAAAGAAAATTGCACGGACTATTCCCTTAAGCCACGTTCGTTCGGCTATTGAGAATTGAAATAGTCGTCCTGTGAAGTTTAAAAAACAGAAAAAGTCACAACAATATCTAAATGACATGGCTTGGCACAGCCAAATACTCTAAGCTAAACTTACGGTTATGTCCGTTAACGCTGATGACTAACTATAGAGCCGTGAGGAGTGTTATCACTTTAAATTAGTACATACTTGCCCTTCTTTCCTTCTTTTACGCTTTATCACTTTGTCTCTGACATCGTGAAAAAAACCTTGTGTGGCTATGTCGTACAGCTTCGCATTATTTTTTTCGTTAACGGAGGATGATAAAAAGCGATTTGTTAACGCACCTGAAGTTTAAATATTAGATATGAGTTACTTCGTATGCAGCCGTAAAACCGGCATTTTAGAAGTGGTCGTTTAGAAGAAGTTCCAAGTAACGTGAATTTACTGGCAACCTCAGGTGTTAAAAGGTACGACAGAACATACCGCATTGATGTTTTCGGATCATCACCCGATAACCTGGTAACCATTGCCATCTGTAATCGGGATAAATTATTAAATTAATGTTGATGACTTACAAATCGGTCTCTGGTTTCTTTCTGCTGCAAACCAGTCTCCATCTGCAGTTCCTCTTCAGGGAACTGCTGACTTGACAGTCCGCAATCGAATTGATGTGGATGTTTGCGTTCACTGAACTTCGCTAGTAGCAGCTTTACATTTGTACTCAAATCAGTAATAGCTGAAGACATGTTCTGCATCATTGTATACTTACTTACTTACGCCTGTTACTCCTCGTGAAGGAGCATAGGCCGCTCACCAGCATTCTCCATCCAACCTTATCCTGGACAATCCTTTCCTGCTCCTTCCAGTTGTTATTCATCCTTTTCATATCTGCTTCTATTATCCTACGTAATGTGTTCTTTGGCCTTCCTCTTTTCCACTTCCCTTCAGGATTCCAAGTTAGGGCTTGTCTCGTGATGCAGTTTGACGATTTGCGTAATGTATGTCCTATCCATTTCCATCGTCTTTTCCTAATTTCTTCTTCAGCTGGAAGTTGGTTTGTTCTCTCCCACAAAAGGTTGTTGCTGATGATATCCGGCCAATGGATGTTGAGTATCTTGCGTAGTCAACCATTTATAAATACTTGTACCTTCTTGATGGTGGTTGTTGTAGTTCTCCAAGTTTCAGCTCCATACAGTAGAACTGCCTTGACATTCGTATTGAAAATTCTCACTTTGATATTCGTTGAAAGTTGTTTTGAGTTGCATATGTTGTTCAGTTGTAGGAATGTTTCCTTTGCTTTGCTAATCCTCGCCTTTACGTCTGCATCTGAGCCTCCTTGTTTATCGATGATGCTTCCCACGTATGTGAAGGATTCTACATCTTACAGAGTTTCGCCATCAAGAGTGATTGGATTGCTGTTCTCTGTGTTGTATTTGAGGACCTTGGTTTTCCTTTTGTGTATACTGAGGCCTACTGATGCAGAGACTGCTGGTAAACTGGCTGTCTTTATTTGCATTTGTCCATGTGTATGCGATAGGAGGGCTAGGTCATCTGCGAAGTCCAAATCGTCTAATTGATTCTGAGCTGTCCATTGTATTCCGCGTTTTCCCTCAGACGTCGAGGTTCTCATAATCCAGTCAACCACTAGAAGAAAAACGAAGGGAGAGAGTAAACAGCCTTGTCTGACTCCGGTCCTTACTTGGAATGCATCTGTCAGCTGTCCTCCATGCACTACTTTGCATTGTAGTCCGTCGTGTGAGTTCCGGATAATATTGACAATCTTCTTAGGAACTCCATAGTGTCGAATAAGTTTCCATAACGTCCTCCTATCCACACTGTCAAATGCCTTTTCATAATCAATGGAGTTGATGTATGGTGACGAGTTCCACTCAACTGATTGTTCGACGATGATCCGTAGTGTTGCAATTCTGTCTGTGCACGATCTATACTTACGGAATCCAGCTTGTTGATCTCGAGGTTGGGCGTCTAGTGCATGTTTCATCCGGTTCAGCAACACTCTGTCGAAGACCTTCCCTGGTATTGACAGTAGTGTAATGCCTCTGTAGTTCTCGCATTTGCTCAGATCTCCTTTCTTTGGAATCTTGACGAGGTGTCCTTCTTTCCAGTCCATTGGCACTTGTTCCTCCTCCCAAATCTTTTTGAATAGAAGGTGAAGCATGTTTGTAGTTAGTTCGATGTCTGACTTCAGTGCTTCAGCTGGTATGTTGTCGGGTCCTGCTGCTTTCCCGTTCTTGATTTGTCTGACGGCCATTCTGATTTCTTTCTTCGTTGGTGGGTTGCCGTCTATGGGAAGATCTATGTGTGCTGCTTCGATGTCCACTGGATTCATTGAAGCCGGCCTATTCAGGAGTTTCTGGAAGTATTCTACCCATCTGCTCCGCTGTTGTTGAATTTCAGTGATTGGCTTGCCTTCTTTGTCTTTGACCGGTCTCTCTGGTTTACTGTATTTCCCTGATAGTTTCTTCGTTGTATCGTAAAGCTGTTTCATATTTCCTTCTCTAGTAGCTTTTTCTGCCGTCGTTGCTAGTTCTTCAACGTATTTTTTCTTGTCGGCTCTAATGCTCCTCTTCACTTGCTTGTTTGCTTCTATGTATTCAGCTTGTGCTTGGACTTTCTCTGCTCGTGTTTGGCTGTTGTTAATTGCTGCCTTCTTGTTCTTCCTTTGTTTGACCTTGTACAGTGTTTCTATAGTGATCCATTCCTTATGATGGTGTTTCTTTAGCCCCAGAACCTCTTGACACGTTGAAGTTAATGCTTCTTTGATGCCTTTCTAGTTGTCCTCCATAGTAGTTTCTTCTTCTTTCAGTAGATCTTGTAAGGCTTGGAACCTGTTGTTGAGAGCTATCTTGAATTTATTGAGTCTGTCAGTATCTCGAAGGAAGGCTGTATTGAACCTTTGTAGTGCTGTTTGTCCACTTGTCCAGTTCTTTTTTAGCTTCAATTTTAAATTCGCTACAACTAGGTGGTGATCTGAAGCTATGTCAGCACCTCTCCTGGTTCTCACATCTTCCATTGTCCTTCGGAATTTTTTGTTGATGCAAATATGATCTATCTAGTTCTCTGTAGTGTGGTCCGGTGAGATCCATGTAGCCTTGTGTATACGCTCGTGTGGAAATATTGTGCCGCCTATGACCAATTTGTTGAATGCACATAGATTTGCAAATCTTTCTCCATTTTCGTTTCTCTGTCCCAGTCCAATTAACATTGGATAATATTCATTGTGATCCCCTGCTTCTTTGTTTTGAGTGGTGCTTTGATGGTTCTAGATCCGTGAGATTCCCATCCTGCAAGTGCATTTCGTGCTACTTTGGACAGCATTAAAGAAACTCCCTGAGTGTGTGGAGCGTTTTCTCTTTCGTAGCTAGCGTTTTCTGTCCAGTGGGTTTCGCTGATTCCCAGTCCTACCAAATTGTATCTCCTCATTTCCGTTGCTATTTGACTGGTCTTCCCGGTCTCCCACATTGTTCGGACGTTCCATGTACCTACAAAAACTTTTGCTCTAGTTGTTAGAAAGGGCATCGGCCTCGTGGCTTCCGAAGGAACTTGGCTTTCACCATGAAGCGTCATAATTCTTCTAAATGAAGACCTTCTAACTCCCAGGGCAGAGTTAAAATAGTTTGGATTATTTTTTCTGGTAAGCGTTTTTTTAGCGAGTTAGTTTTCTACGGGATGGGGACGCTAACCCCATGCCCAACCCTCTTCCTTTACCCGGGCTTGGGACCGGCAGTAACTCTAGAAGAGCTACAGGCGGAGTTATCATTGTATACAACCTGTCAAATCTGAAAAACTTCACTTGATCGTACAGGTGACTTACTGGGCCGCTGAAGCACAGCCTACATGCTTAGATTATAATGATGTATCTAATTGTGTCGAACTACTTCATTAACATCTAAATAGTCATGGAACGTGATTGGCAATTGGCGAGGCGACAACCGAAATTTCGGATATTGTGCGTGGCTATTTCCAGCCTTAATCTCGGCCACATCCATGTCTACTGAATTGTAAAGAAATCCTTATTTGTGCTTCAATGCACCTCTAAGAAATGTTAATAAGATTATTGTACTGACCTGTTGGGCTTCTCATTGTTGAGTGGCAGGATCTTTTCCTCCGTTGAAGTATTTTTGAAGGGAAACTAACATGTCCTTTGCAGACTGCAAACCGTCTATAGTAAATTGTAGTTTCTATGTTTGTTACTCACCGAATTCGTGAATGACTTTACAACCTGCCTTACCATTGTGATTAACCGTGTACCTAACAGCAGAACTAATTAATTGGTTCGAAACTGACTTTAAAAGTCACTACACATCAAAGCAACATGGTGAAGTATTTGCAATCAGAAATAAAACTGACGTACATAGCTGTAATGATAAACAGCGAATAGTTATGAAAGTAAGTCATTTTATGTTTATGAAACAGCACCTCCTGTGAAGTATACTATATAATGTGTTTCAAATGTCCCAACATGCGTCACTCGACATGGTTATTTGCATAGCTCATCTTTGAACCTCAACGTTTTTTCTACTTCAAAGGCCCAGCGTTTTCCCAATAGGTATGACTCATTTTATCACTATATTTCTTGATGTCAGTAATTAGATTGTATTTTTAATCTTATTCCATTTTGGTAGCCCATAACTTCTGTCTTATTAAAGCAAATGGAACTAAATGGATAAAAACTAAAATTCTCTTTTTAGGTAACATTCTATCTGAAATGAAACTGGATATCAGAGATAGTAAATCTGATGTTGGACGAAGTGCATGTGATATAATCAAGGCTATCCTTTTAGACTCAACTAAGGATAACCGTATTGTTACAATCGGTTTATCTGGTAATTTAATCTTTTAGTTAACTTTCTTTTATTAAGGTGGGAGTATGCCTCATCTTCTTGCACCACACCTTTGCTCTTTCTCGGAAATCAATTGGGAACTAGTTCATTTCTTTTATTGCGATGAAAGACTAGTTCCATTAGATAGTGAAGATTCAAATCATCATTGCTACCAAGAACTACTCTACTCTAAAATTAACATTCCATCCTCAAATATTCATACTGTTAATACAACATTATCATGTAGAGTGTCTTTAATCATAATATAAATCATGTTTAGTAGAAGATTCAGCTGCTGATTATCAGAAACAGCTCTTATCATTCTTTGGAACAGCTAACGGTTATCCACGTTTCGACCTACTGCTTCTTGGTATGGGTCCAGATGGTCATACATGCTCCTTATTCCCTGATCACAAATTGCTCTATGTAAGTTAATATTTTATGCCAAACGTTCAAGACACCATCGATTTGTGCTTCTAATTTACTTCAATATCTTGATGCTGCATAATACTTTGTATTTTCCACTGTTCACCGAGGAAAATGCAAAGAGAGTTATTTTTTATTGTTACGATAAGGCTTCTGGCACGATGATGTATCAATTTAATTCTTCACTCTTTCTAGCTCTACAAATAATGTAAAATAACAAAATTATTATGAGTTATATGAAAACATTGGAAAATTCAAATACAACTGACGGGATATGGATGAACAGACTGTTAAATTAATATTATTACTGTTCTAATTTATCTCACCACGTTATAATAGAGGTAAAAGAAAGCAAAAGAAATAACATTATTAAACAGGAAGTCAATCAGTCGAAAATAAGGTTAATATGGATGAATTTA